ATATATATATATATATATATATATATATATATATGAATGCTAATTTGTTTTCTTTTCATTTCAGGGAGTCTGACAGATGAAGGACAGCAGTACTGTTGTAAGCTAGTAGAAATGAATTCAAAAAGTGGTCCAGGCCTTATTGGCTTAGGCATTAAAGCTTTACAAGACAAGAAGTATGAAGATGCTGTTAGTCGCCTAACAGAAGGTAATGTATGGAATATAATATTTAATATGAAATGTAGTTACTCAGTCAATAGGGACTACTAGTTTAGCCTTCTTGTCAGGAGATAAACTAAAGGAAAGGGAAAATGAATATGCATATTCTGGAGCCTGTTTATTAGATTTAAATTTCAAGTCTTAAACTCAAGACCATGGAAAAGTTCAATTTTATGTGTACCAGTGATTTCCTTTGTATAGTAGAGATACTTTGAGGAAGCTTTAGAAACAGAGAGGCTTAGCTTAGTCAACTCAGTTATGGTGTTGTGGGTTGTTTTTTTTTTAATAAACTTGTATTCAAACTGAGATATGACTAATAGAGTGAGGAAGGTAGATGGGGTGAGTGGGAAGAATTGTAAGTCAAAGAATGCATTTGGGGAGGAGCAGAGCTAAGAAGAAACCTGTTCAGGGTAGTTCAGTAAGATTTGAGGATGAAGTGTGGGTAGCGGAAGGAATAGGAAGTAAGGCTGAACATGGCCTTGCAAACATTGTTGATAAGCTTACAGTGCATCCTGAGGACAGCAGGAGCCCATGAAAGGCTCTAAGCATAGAAACACTTTAGTCTGATTTTTCATGGGGCTGGAGAGGTAGGTCAGTCAGTGAAGTGCTTGTCATGTGAGCATGAGGACCTGTGGTTGACTCCTAGAACTCATGGTATTTGTGATTACTTCATCCTAGGCTTGAAAGAAATCCCTCTCTGCATAGCTGGCTGGTGTCATTTAGCTGAAGCCCAAGTCAAAGTGCACAGACCTAAGGAAGCAATTCTTTCTTGTGACCAAGGTATTCTTGATGTACTTTGGTTACATCAATGCTATTGGTTTTCATCTGGCTTGAGAAAGATGTTATTTTAAAATAATGGAATTTTTCATTTTGAAGTTTTCATTTTGAATTTGTGGTTTATTTAAATTGCACTGGGGAAGATAAATAAATGCCCAGTCTGTGTGCATGCTGCTGTTAATATTTGTCTTTAAGATGAGGGCTTAGGTGCAGATGTTCTGCCTTCCTAACAAGGAAATTTCTGTTATGTTTAGGACCTTCATGAATTCATAATGTCATGGATACAGATGAGAGATAATTCTTTGTTCTTGACCCAGTTAGTTGCCGAACTTCTGTATTTAACAGTCCTTTCTAATTAAGCTTCTTTCCCCTTCCAGTGTCCATAGTCAGTTTGTAATAATTAGGGTCCCTACTGCTGTGAAGAGACATGATGGCCATGGCAACTCTTAGAAAGGAAAACATTTAATTGTTTGGCTTACAGTTGAGAGTCTGTCCATTGTCATCATGGCGGGACATGGCAGCATGCAGGCAGACATGGTGCTCGAGAAGGAGCTGAGAGTCCTGCATCTTGCAGGCAACAGGAGTGGTCTGTCTCACTGAGCATGGCTTGAACATAAAGCCTGCCTCCACCTCGACACACTTTCTCCAACAAAATCACAACTACTCCAACAAGGCCACACTTCCCATTAGTCTCACTCCCTTTGGGGACTACTTTCTTTCATACCACCACATAGACCATTCTAATTCAACTTCTTTCCATTCCAGTGCCCTTAATTTGCTGGGTGCAGAGGACTGCTAGCCATTGTTATTCTTAAGTACCTTCAATTTTATTTATGCCATGTGAAGACAGAGGTCTTAAATTCATGTGTTTGGTTTCCAATTCAGATATTTCTAGAAGAATTTGAGAGAACTTTTGTGTTTAAATTATTCATCTCTCTCTCTCTATATATATATATATATACACACACATAAATATACATATATATAGTATTATATATTAGAAATTTTGCTCACTGTATCTGCAGTGTATATGTTATTCTTTTTTAAAGAAAATCTTAAAATTTTAAGATTGTCTTTGTGTTATGCCCATGGGAATGCCCACATGTGTGTCTTTGCATCATGTTCATGCCTTGCTGTGGAGGCCAGAAGAAGGGGCTCCCCTAGAAGTGGAATTGTAGATGGTTGTGAGCTGCCCTGTAGGTCCTGGTAATCAAACCTAGGACTTTTGGAAGAACAACCAGTGTTCTTAACCACAGAGCCATCTCTCTATTACTGTATGCCATTCTTTAAAAGTTTTTTTAAACATTTATTTATTTATTTTTGTATGTGTGCATGCACAAATATACACATGCCATGACATGAGTGTAGAAGTCAAGACAACCTGGCAGAATTTGGTTCTCTTCTATCATGTAGCACTGAATTCCGGGTTTTAAGGCCAGACAAGTGACATTATCATCTAAGCTGTCTCACTGGCTGTATCTCATTCATAATAAGCAAGCAAACAGCAATGCTGGGGATTAATTCCCATGTCCTCAATCTTGTCAGCGCTGAAGAACATAGATAACCACAGTGCAGCAGGTAGCAGACGTCATCAGAAGAATCTGTGTCTTCTTTTGAAAGCTGAGGCTTTGCTTAAACTCTCAGATTGTGAATCTTCAGAGGAAGCAATTCGTATTCTTGATCAGGTATGTGGTCTGGAGTTTTCCTCTTCAGCTTCGCTTTCCAGTCACTAGCTACCAGCCATCTTTACCTGCCAAATATTTACCTTCATAAATTTTGAGTTACAGATACAAATTCAGTATATACACTCTGATAAATCTTCCACACTCTTGAAACTGCTTGTCTTAGTTAGAGTTTCTATTGCTGTGAAGAGACACTATGACCACAGCAACTCTTAGAAAATACTTAATGGGGCTGGCTCACAGTTTCAGATTTCTGTCCATTGTCATCATGGTGGGACATGGTGGCATGCAGGCAGGCATGGTGCCAGGGAAGGAGCTGAGAGTTCTACATCTTGATCCTCGGGCAATATCTCATATGAAGATTTTCTGTTTTGTTTTAGTGCCTATTCTCCCATCTGTTTTCTTAAGGCTTTTGGTGTGATTTGAAATTCCTTAGTGAGAAATCATAATGGACAGATCATGAATTTTAGCAACATGTTTCTAAAAGGGTTTTGTCAAATATATTTGTTAGTGCAGGGTTATTTTTTTTTTTGTCATTGCTTTGTGTATTACAAAAAAAAAAAATAACCCTGCACTTTCAAATATATTTGTTAGTGCAGGGTTATTTTTTTTTTTTGTCATTGCTTTGTGTATTACAAAGGGCTTTGCATTTTCTGTTTTCTTTAAAGTAACAGCTGTTGCCCTCCTTTAAGAACTATTAAGTAGCTGAATTTGGTGGTTTATGCCTGTAATCCCAGCACAGGGGCTCAGGCAGAAAGATGACCGTGAGTTCAAGGCCAGCCTGAGCTGCACTGTGAGACCCTGTCTCAAAAAAACAAAACAAAACAAAACAAAAAACACCCAAAATCCAATACTTGTCTGTCCTCAGTATGTATCTTGGATAGATGCTTTTAGATACCTTTCCAGTACCGTTTTTCTCACACACAAAGCATAATGAAAAACTTCTTTAAAATCTGCAAGGGTCCATATCTAAGACATAGAATTTGTAAGTTGAGTGCAAAACATGTTATGCTAGAAAGCAAAGAAACTGTAGAAGAACTACACTAAACAGACACAGGAGTTGCCCAATGAGGGCAGCAGTATATGTATTGAAGAGAAACAGTGTTTAAATATGTTTAACTTCATGTGTGTGTGATGCTACCAAAAAGAAAAAGATCATAGCAAGTTTGTGAAAGCATCATGGGCTGATGCTAAGGAACAAACTGGAAGGAATGAAACATTTATTGTGCCGCTCTTACCAGCTGCTCAGTGTGAGAGCCAAATGGGTGATGAGGAAGCACAAGTTCCTCCTGGTTAAGTATTCCAGGTGATAAGGGAAAGAGCAATGCTTGACTAAAGCCATTTTGTAATCTTTAATGAATGAATAGATGCAGACATTGAGGATCATTGGTTTCCACAGGGAAAAAAAATAGATAGTCCATCACAACCATGACAAATACACATAGCATATTGTTGCTAGATCAGGTCAAGGGTCTCACCCTGCCTATTGATGCAGGGACCAGGGAGAATGTCAGACATCATGAGAACACATTCAGTCAAACCTTGACTTTGTGAAAGTGTGACAAATGGCCTGTGTTTTCACAGTCAGTAAGAAAGCAGAGAGATAGAAAGGGCCCATATATTAGGAGATACTTCAGAGAGCTGTGGTCTTATTGAGCTATATATATCTTAGTTGAATTTTGACTGAAATAAATTTTCAAATTCTTCATGAGGCAACTAGGAAATCTGATGATTTGAAAGCTATATAGTTGGCTTTGGGTCTGAGAATGGTAGTGTGTTTACCATTTACAAATGACTTTATCTTAAATGTGTATGCTGAAATAGCACAGATGAGAAGTTACAATTTGTTTTAAATCATCTGAAGGGTATGGCAAAAGGGTAAATATATACATGGACAAACATAGCACTTGACTTTATAATTCTGTAGCTGGATAATGGGTACAAGCAAGGTTGTTATAGTGGTCTTTAATTTTCTCATATTTCCCCAGTTAGATGATTAAAGAATGAAAATCTGGATAGTAATGGAACTCTGACTATACTCTGTCATACCCTGCCCTTCTGTGTCTGTTCTTTAAACAGAACAGATAGCCCTGTAGCTGTCTGGAGAGACTTGTAGCAGCTCTCAATCATTTTCTAGGTTTCGGATACAGATAATACCCCAGGACTGCTGGTTCTTCAAGGCCTGGCCCATCTGAACACAGGTGCTGTAGACAAGGCTACAAAGGTTGGTGTTTTCTTTCAAATGAAGCATTATTTGAAGGCTAAAAGAAGCTTATGGGAATTTAGTTCAATGCTACAGTGCTGGCCTACAAAGTGTAAGGACCTAGGTTTGCTCCCAAGAACCCAACATAGAATAAAATAAAGTGTAAAGTAAAAACTAACCAAAAACCTCAACTAAAATTAAAGGCAAGGCTATTTCAAAATATTTTGTATTTTATGTGAATGGGTGTTTCTTGTGCATGTGTGTCTGTGTACCATGTGTACGCCTGGGCCCCTCAGAGGTCAGGGAAAGGCGTTGAAGACCCTGGAACTGGAGTCATAAATGATTGTCTGTCAGCCACCATGTGGATGCTGGGAATTGAACCTGGGTCCTCTGGAAAAGCAGCCAGTGCTCTTAACCACTGAGCCATCTCTACAGCCCCCATTTCTTTTTAATGGGATATGGAATTGATAAGTGTCTCCTTGACAGATTATGGAAGACCTTCGAACTTCTTACCCTGACCTGGCCGAAGTTCATGCACTTGAGGCTTTGATTCATTTTACTAAGAAGGACTATCTGCAAGCAGAAGCATGGTGAGGGTTTGGAGCCTGTGGCTCCAGTCATATCTCACTTATTTCTTAAAAATTGGTCATGGGCTTGATGAAGTTCCACTTTTAAATTTATGGTGTATGTGTGTATGTGTGTGTTTCACTTGTAGCATAAGAACTATACATTTTTTCAGTGATTGATTTCTGATCTCGTTAGCTGATCATTATGTTTAGTAAGCCAGTGTAATATTTGGTATATGTTCTGAACACATGTAGTGTTAAAAGGTCACTGTGCTTCTTAAAGCTTTTCAGTAACATCACTCTTTGCTTATTATAGTCTAAATCCTGAAGTAGTGAAATGTTTTAGATTTGGGAATTTTTATAGGTTTATTTTATTTTGGGTGTTTTGCCTGCATGCATGTATGTGTGCATGTGTACCTAGTACCTGCATAATTCAGATTATGGTACCAAATCCCCTAACTGGAGTTACAGTTTGGGGTCTTCATGTTGGTACTTGGAACCCAGGTCCTCTGGAAAAACAACAGGTGGCTTGACCCTGAGCTGTCACTTCAGCTCCTAGATTTGGTATTCTTGAATCACTTTACTTGATTGTTCTATCTTGGAGTCCCATATGATTTACACACACACACACACACACACACTCTCTCTCTCTCTCTCTCTCTCTCTCTCTCTCTCTCTCTCTCTCTCTTAATACTTCTTTTTGCTCTCCTTTGGTGATTTAGTTTCCAGAGAGCACTTGAGCAAGATGCTGAAGTTGCTGAATATCATTACCAGCTTGGGTTGACATACTGGTTCATGAGTGAAGAAACAAGAAAAGATAAATCAAAGGCTCTTACCCACTTTCTGAAGGTAAACCAGTGCTACTACTAAATTCTTTGTTAAAGTGGATTTGTCATAAAATCAAATAGGCAACTGAATAGGTATGTAAAATTACTATTTACTCAAATATCTTTTTGCATTTCATTTCTCATAGAAGAGGTTTTGTGAGAATAGTCTGTGTGTTTTCCTAAGTGAAAATTTAAATCATGAAAGTGTGAAAGTGTCTGTTTCAGAAATAATACGCTATAGAAGTTGAGACATGCTGACTGTGGAAGCAATGCTGTTTTAGCTGATAGCTTCTGTAGTTTTATGGGTATGTGAGTCTGGATTTTTAGCTTCCTGTTTTTATAGACGTTTAACATCTATGTCTTATTCTTATTTTCTCAGGGAGCATATTAATTTAACAGTGGCTCTAATTTCACATTTGTTTTACCAAAGAAATGCTAGTTTTACCTTGTGTTTATTTTCTATAGGCAGTGTGGACCAGCTTTGGTGTCTGTTTTAAATATCACACTAAAGGATTTGGGGGCATAATTTTATACCTTTAATAAAATAGTTTCTTTAATCAGTGTACTATATCCTTAGTATGCATTGAAACAAATTTTTAACATTCCATTGTCAACATTTATTTCCAAGGCTGCAAGACTGGACACATACATGGGTAAAGTTTTCTGCTATTTAGGTCATTATTACCGCGATATAGCTGGAGATAAGAACAGAGCTCGAGGATGTTACAGGAAAGCTTTTGAATTAGATGACACCGATGCTGAGTCTGGAGCAGCGGCTGTTGACCTAAGTGTGGAACTTGAAGACACGGTCTGTCTCATGACCACTTCTGTCTCTTAGTCTTTTACTCAGTATATAAATGGAAATGTTTTTTATAATATACATACTTGAAAGTTATATTCATTATTCTTTGGAGGTAAAATAGAAATGTCTTTGTACCTACTTATAAACTACATTTTCTTCTCATTGGTAGATACTAAATTACCTGTCACTTTTCTGTGTGTACTCTTATATGGCTATGTATATGCATGCATGGCATTCATCTGTGTACATGTGCATAGGTGTATAGGCCTGAGGTCAGTGCCATGTGTCCTTTCTTGAGAACTTTCCACGTTTGTGAGAGGCTGTGCACTGAACCTGAAGCTCATTGATCTGGCTAGCCTAACCGTCAAGTGAACTTCCCAGACCCATTCCCCAGTGCTGGGGTTATCAGAACATTCCCCATGTTTTCACATGCATTCTGAAGATCTGGAAATTGGACCTCAGCTCCCTGTGTTTGTGTGTCAGACACTTTACCAGCTGAGCCAAGTTCCTAGCCCTGACTTTTCATTTATTATTTAAATTAGTTTTATGTATGTCATTGTAAACTTAAAAAAAATCAGAAGTGGGAAATGAAAGTATGTTTGTGTCTTTTGCATAATTGTTCTGTATTTTTGTATTTGGTGTCCCTGACATTGATATTTCCTCATCAGGAAACTGCTTTAGCTATCTTAACAGCAGTAACTCAAAAGGCAAGTGCTGGAGCGGCAAAGTGGGCCTGGCTTAGGCGAGGACTGTACCATTTGAAAGCTGGTCAACATTCTCAAGCAGTGGCTGAGTAAGACATCTTACTATGTTTACACTAAACAGTGTGGTGCTAACTTAAATTTCTTTGGTAGCACGTGACCTTTATAAATAACCTCTAACCAAGATGCATTTTGAGAGAACCATAACAAAATTATTATGATTGATTTGTTGCTTATTGCCTGCAAGGCAGTAGAATTTAATATGGACTAAGTTATGTACTGTTGTTGAGGAGTTAGCCAGTTAAGTCTTAGTTGGCATCATAATGTAATAGGTCCCCTCAAGAGACATTTCAGTAATAAAAAGCTGAGGCTTTGATGTTACACTACCATGTGTTGACCTTGGCAGCAAGGGAGACCTTGGCAGCTTGAAGGGGGTTTTGGAGAGGCTTATGTGTGATTGATTTTGGTCATTTGTTTGAACTGTATTTCAGGGTGAAAATATAATTGAGTCAAGATAAAGTCATCTCTGATGCATGTTAATTTCCAGAATGTAAATATTCTTATTTTTTCATAAACATGCAGTTTGGTCAGAAGTTTAAGCATCCCTCTCAATCCTGTAGTTCAGGTGTCTAGAGGAGGAGTGACAGACTAAAAACCAAGATGTCTACCTGTTCTGGTGGCATGGACAACTGGAGTTCTGCCAAATAAAAAAAAAAAAAAAAAGAAGCTATGGTCAACATTTTCCCCAAAGAACATTTGAATCTTATTTTTAAAAATTATTTCACAAAATCTTTTTCCTATTAAAAACATTCAAATCATGAAAGAAATAGGAAGGCTGCCTTAAGTATCATTTTTACAAATCAAAGGACTTGTGGATGATTTAATTGGATTATTTATTTTAGATGAGGATGTAATTCTGTTACCTTGAGTTTTCTCACTGTTTCTTCATTGTTAAGTTTGCAGGCAGCACTGAGGGCAGACCCAAAGGACTGCAATTGTTGGGAATCCTTAGGAGAGGCGTACTTAAGCAGGGGCGGCTATACAACAGCATTGAAGTCTTTCATAAGAGCCAGCGAGCTAAACCCAGACTCCATGTACAGTGTGTTTAAAGTGGCAGCAATACAGCAAATCCTAGGCAGGTATACCGAGGCCATCGCGCAGTATCAGCTGATCATTAAAAAGAAAGAGGATTATGTGCCTGCTTTGAAAGGTAATTTCTTTTCAAGAGTTCTTTTCTTAATTTTAATAATGCTGAACTATAAAACCCCCAAGTAAATTTTCTACCTATTAAATAGTTTGAGAAGCATGTAGTCAATAGCAAGAATTTCTTATTGTACAACTTGATATTGATTTGATTATAAAAATAACAAATTTTGTTTCCTAACAGTTCATAAATAGTAATATGGCAGCAATTAGACAAATAGAACAAAAGCTATTGGACCCCAAATAGATCTTCCAAGCAAATTTCTATGATGCTGTTTTAGTAATTTTAAATTATATTCCCAGAATAGGCTAATAATTTTTTATTAACACTATAGAAACTGTTAAATTATTTTTAGATGCAATTTTCTTTGTTTTGTTATTAAGCTGATTTCAGGTCCTCCTTCAATAGCCCTTCCTAACCCTGTTTTTAACTATATAAGGAAAAGCATTACCTATAATTTAAGTTTTTGATTTTGTGTTTGTTTTTTGGATGTAGTGAACTTCATTGCTGTATTCAACAGAGTAGGGCTCCCTGAACTCCTCCTGTTAATCTGGGGTCTGGGATGGACATTATGAGGTAGATGCTCAGGGTTGGGGGGCTGAGTTGGGACAGGGACTGCTTAGCAACCAGGGCCTCACTCTCTTTCTGGGGTGGGTGGTGCAGGGTGGGCTTCTTACTCCTTGGACGCCATGTGGGTCATGGAGCACCACCCTGCTTCTGTCATACCAGGAATTGAGCTTTACAAAGTTGTCATTGAGAACAATGCCAACCCAGCATCAAAGGTAGAAGAGTGGGCATCACTGTTAAAGTCACAGGAGACAAGTTGGTCCTCAGTGTAGCCCAGGACACCCTTTAGTGGTCCTCAGATGCTTGCTTCACTGTCTTCTTGATGTCATCATACTTGGCAGCTTTCTTGGGGCAGCATGTCAGATCCATGGTGGACACATTGGGGATAGAACACAGAAGGCCATGCCATGAGCTTCCTGTTCATTTCTGGGATGACCCTTGCCCACAGCCTTGGCAGCACCAATGGATGCAGGGATGGTCTTCTAAGCAGCCCATGGCCATCATACCACAGCTTCCTGGAGGGGCCATCCACAGCTTCTGGGTGTCAGTGATGACATGGACTGTGCCATGAGTCCTTCCACAATGACAAAGTTGTCATGGATGACCTTGGCCGGGGCCTAAGCAGCAGGTGGTGCATGAAGCATTGCTGACAACCTTGAGTGAATTGTCATATTTCCCATGGTTCACACCTATCACAAACATGGGGACATCAGCAGAAGAGGCAGAGATGATGACCCTTTTGGCCCCACCCTTCAAGTGGATCCCAGCCTTCTCCATGGTGATGAAGACACCAGTAGACACCACAACATACTCAGCACAGCATCTCCCATTAGATGTTGGCACGATCTCATTCCTAGAAGATAGTGATGTCCTTCCCGTTGATGACAAGCTTCCCATTCTCAGCCTTGACTGTCATACGGGAACATTTGGACCATGTAGTTGGGGTCAATGAAAGGGTCATTTGTTGCTGGTGACCCTGCTTAGACACCCCTTGCGGGGGGGGGGGGGGGGGGGGGGGGGGGGGGGGGGGAGGTGAGAAGATGCAGCACTAACAACTCAGGCATTGAGAGTCAGTGAGTAGTAGAGTGTGCTGCAAACTCATTTATTAAGGAAGTAAGGCCTGCCTTTATATATACCCCCTCCCAAGATCTATTGGCTCAGGCGGCTGACTCTGCTGTGTTGTCCTTTCCTCATTGGTGTCTCTGGGTCATTAGCAGTCTTTGGGCCTACAGGCAGGCTTAGCTCAGGGATGAAGTGCTTGCCACAAATGCTCATGCAGGCTAGCCTGGATACTGGGGGCAGGGCGACTCCAGCTTGGGTAGGCTGGCCACAGTTTCTCCTACATATCCACTGCCCCCCCCTCTTTTTTTTTTCTAATTCGGCTTCTTGGGAGTCGAAGTTCTAGCTTTGGCCTCATTGTCCCTGCCTCAGAGAGCATCCAGCATGATAGACTTTTCCTGTCTTAGGTTGGCCTGCCTCTTGGTCTTTATCTGTCATTGACTACCAGCCCTCAAAGGATGACATTTCTGGGAAGCATGCCCCGGTTGGGAAGAATGCCTGTCAAACTGATACCTCAGGAATTTCTGTGAGCCAGGCCTAAGAGACCTCCCAAGGAGTGCCCCACATTCTGGGTGTTAAAGTGCCATGAGAACCTGGAGTGTGGAAATACACTGTAGGAACATGGCAACAATGTCCACTTTGCTAGAACTGCAGGAGGTAGCCCTGGTAACCAGGCATCCAATACGGCCAAATCTGTTCACTCTGACTTTCACCACTGTGTCTCAGGAACGACTATGGCACAGCACAAAAAGATGCAGCTGTCTCTGAAACAGGGAGGAGCAGAGAGCCACCTTTTTGAAATTATATCTTACCCTTTCATAATCTGTATGCTCCTCTATATGCTCTTCTGTTTGCTTTTCTTATAAAAGAAACCATCTAGGTTCCAGTTCTTAACATTGTAGGTTTGGAATAACATACAACTTAGAGCCTGGAATCATTTTTCTCTTCTCTCCTCTCCTTTCCCTCTTTCTTTTATAAAACCTTCCTCAAGAGAAAAAAGAACTCCTTTTTATGAAGTATTTCCTGGCACTTGAGGAATTTGCTAATTCATTTAGGTTTTACTATATAGTTTGCTGCATAGGTTTTAATGTAAAAGATCAAATACTGGTTTTAGTATAGTTAAATACATATGTTAGAGAACAGTAGTGTTCCTAGTTTGGAAGCTGACATCTGAAGACATTAATTAACCCATAGTCAAGAGAATTTTGTGCAGTTGACTTCCTGTGAGTTTTAGTACATATTGATTGCAACAGAGCCTTGACATTGGAGATCTTTTTTAAATGTGTCAAGACTATATTTAGAAATAATTTTATAAAATAACACTGTATTGTTTCCTGGAAGCTTTCTCAAAAGACTCAAATTGACTCTCTTCTTTGTATATTTTAATGATGTGCACAAACTCCCCTCACTGCAGGTTTGGGTGAATGCCATCTGATGATGGCGAAAGCAGCCTTAGTGGATTTTCTGGATGGAAAAGCTGTAGACTATGTGGAAAAAGCATTGGAATATTTTACTTGGTTAGTATCACCTTTATTTAGCACTCTCACTTTCTTGGTAGTATAATAAAGCTAAATTTAGAATATAATTTTATGTCTCTGCTGGTAGATATAAAGGTTATTTGGAGTGTCAAATGTAAGAATACAGACTAGCTGGTTAATTTTAGCATACAAACTATTAATTTTATCCCTGAGCTGAGAAAGAGACATTTTTTGTGTCCTTTGTAATGGCTGCCATGCTGCAGAGAGGAGGGGAACATGGCCACTAGTAGAGCAGCAGCTCTGATGAAGTGTCTTAGAGTTCTGACCTGGACATGGGTGCCTCTTTGCTGGAACTGACTTAGAAGTAGAGCTTCAGACACACAGGGTGCTTTTCATTCATCAATAGGGCCTAGTAAGGGAAAATGAGCCTTCAGATTATTCCTGGAGAGAAGCTGTAAGAACAAGTGGTATATCTAATATGTGTCAGGAAGATTTAAATCTAGCATGCTATAGAAGTGCAAAGTATTATTTGTGTTGGATGACTTTAAAAAGTCCACATATTAGGGAATAGGGAGATGGCTCTGTAGGTAAGAGCAGTTGCTGGGCAAGCCTGAGGACCTGATTTTAAATCCCCTGTGGCTGCACATGTGCCTGTAACTCTGGTATTTGGGGAGGCAGAGATCAGAAAATCACTGAGTCTTACTGGCTGCCAGCGTACCTTTAGGTTTAGTAAGACAACTACCATATTTCAAAGAAATATGACAGGGATAGAGCAGGACAGTTGATGGCCTCTATATTCACATGTCTCCCTGTATTCATATGCCCCCCCCCCACCTCAATGGCAATAGTCAGTCTATAGATTGTTTGGGGCACAAGGGTGCATATGCCTGTAATCCTAGCCTCTTAGGAAGCCAAGGCAAGGGAATAGTGACTTCAAAGACAGCCTCAGTACATCTTGACAACAACTATACCATTGAGCTGTATTCCCAGCCCTGATTTTTTTTTTAAAAAAAAATAAAGTTGAAAAGATACGGGTTTGAACAGTTAAGATTGCTACTGTTTTCTTTTTTCTCCTTTCAAGTGTCAGTTTTAGAAATCTTACTAAGATATTTAAAGGAACTTAGGAATAATGTCCTTCCTCTGTCTCTCACAGTGGGTGGGTCTTCAGCAGTGACTTCAGTAATTAGTGCTTCTCAGGAAGACACTGGAAATGGATTTTGGCTGGACTCCTGTAGCAGAAAAGGCTATGAGATGCCCCATCTGCTGTCTGTCTGCCTGTGACACAGCAGTGTGTAGTGGCTGACTATCGAGTTTTGGCCTAAACTGAGATGCTCTGAGAAAGGTGGGGAGAGACGTGCAGCACTCACGTGCTCATTCTAAAAGGAGCCAGCCCTTCGTGTATCTCCTCAGACCCTGTTAACTTTTTGAGTTGTTTATCCAGGCTGCTTTTACTTGCTCCTGAGGGTAGAGCTCTAGATTTTCTTGTTTAAAGTTTTTTTTTTTTAATTTATTTTTGCCCTCAGTGAAAATCCTGTGTTCTACCAACAGATATCGTTGATACATTGTTTAATATTTTTTAAAAAAATATTTTTATTTAGTTTAGAAACAATCTTATTTTATATATCAATCCCAGTTCACTCTCTCTCCCATCCTCCCTTGCTCCCACGACCTCCCTCCTTCTCTGCCCCCAACCACTCCCCCAGTGAGGGTGAGGTCTTCCATGGGGGAATCATCAAAGTCTGTCACATCATTTGGGGCAGGATCTGGCCCTGCCCTATGTATTTCGGCTGAGAGAGTATTCCTCTCCATGGGGGAATGGGCTCCCAAAGTCCATTTGTCACTAGGGATAAACACTGGTTCCACCACAAGAGGCCCCGTAGACTGCCCAGGCCTCCTAACTGTCACCCATGTTCAGGGGACCTGGTTCAGTCCTAAGCTGGTTCCCCAGCTGTCTGGCTGCGGTCCATGAGCTCCCACTTGCTCAGGTCAGCTGTTTCTGTGGGCTTCCCCGCATGGTCTTGACCCCTTTGCTCATCACTTCTCCCTCTCTACAACAATATTTAGCTGTGGATATCTCCTGCTTCCATCAGCTACTCAATGAAGGCTCTAGGATGACACTTAAGGTAGTCATAATCTCATTATAAGGGAAGGGCATTTAAGATAGCCTCTGAAATATTGCATAGATTCTTAGATGGTGTCATCCTTGTGGATCTCTGGACATTTCCCTAGTGCCATATTTCTCTTTAAACCTATAATGGCTCCCTCTATTAGGGTACCTGTATTCTTGCTCTCCTCTATTCATCCCCTGACTCAGTATTCCTGGTCCCTCATGTTCTTCTTCCCCCTCTCCTCTTCTCTCCTCCTCTTTCTCCTCCCTCCCTCCCCTGTGCTCCCTATTTGTTCAGGAGCTCTTGCATTGTTTAGTCTTTTGAGGGGAAGTTCAAAGACATAAGCTTTTATAACAAAAAGTCACTGCCTTGATTGTTGATTAGCCAACAAAAGACATACCTTTAGAACTCTAGTATTAAAAATAAACTGAAAACAACAGAAACAGAATTGCCCTAAAGTGTTTCTATCTATTTGGTTTCTGTCTGCACTTCTAACAATTATGGTGAATATATCTGAAAAAAACTAAAACTTTTCCTGCCACATAAAATAATCAGTTCCTCCCTCTTCCCCTTTTTCTAGATTTTTTTCCCTCCTAGTAAGGAAGTGATAGATAGATAGTTCTGTTAAGTGATCAGTGAGACATGCACAGAGAGAGTCTGACTGAAGTCATTGCTCTCAGCCAGGACTGGGGATTTAGTTCTGTTCAAAGACTTTGTAGTCCTGTGAGGCATACAACTGAGCTTTTGGACATAATTTGGAAAGCTCCTGTTTCTCCTTGCAGGGCACTGCAGCATCAAGCTGATGTGTCCTGCCTCTGGAAGCTTGCTGGGGATGCCTGCACCAGCCTGCATGCTGTTTCACCGTCTACAGTGCATGTTCGTGTCTTAGGAGTGCTTCTCGGTCAGCAGGAAGGAAGTGAAGTATTGAAGAAAGATGAGCTCCTGCATCTAGGAGGAAGGTGATTTACAGAGAATACCAGTCATTCCATTAGAGTTGAATTAGAACATTATATTTTAAAAGCATCCATACCATTCATTTTAATTTTTCCACAGGTGTTATGGTCGTGCATTAAAGTTGATGTCTACATCTAACACATGGTGTGATCTTGGAATTAACTATTACCACCAGGCACAGCATCTGGCAGAGACAGGCAGCAGCACAGATGGCCTTACAGAGCTACTGGAGAAATCTGTGCAAGTAGGAGAAATTTCACATGAACTTAAAAACACAGTGATTTTATGAACAATGCTATTGATAAATATTTTGTTTTAACATTAAACCACATTTTAAAAATATAAATGTTGATATTCAAGATATAAAAAATTAATCTACTTTGACTTCTTTTTCAGTGTCTGAAAAAAGCAGTGAGACTGGACAGTAATAATCACTTATACTGGAATGCTCTTGGTGTGGTTGCATGTTACCGTGGTGAGTAACACTTATTTTACTTTACACAGTTATTTGTTTTCAGGCAATAAAGTTTGATTACTTAGATTCTGTATGTTTCAGGTATTGGAAATTATGCTCTTGCTCAGCACTGTTTCATCAAATCTATCCAGGCAGAACAAATTGTAAGTGTTCCGTGTGTGTGTGTGTGTGTGTGTGTGAGAGAGAGAGAGAGAGAAAGAGAGAGAGAGAGAGAGAGAGAGAGAGAGAGAGAGAGAGGAGGGGGGGATGCTCATCTACCATGGAATGCTTGTAGACATAGAAGGTTACTTTCAGGTGTTGGGTCTCACCTTGCACCCTGTTCATTCATTTATTCTGCATGTGTGTGTGTTTCCTTGTGTGTGAATGTGTGCATGTATGTATGTGGTTGTCAGGGCTACTTTGAGGAGATAAGTTTATTCTTTGCCATTTCACACATGTCCATAATGTGTTTTGATCATATACAACTCCCTCTGCTCTTCCTCCCACTCACTCTGATCCCTTCCCACTTCATGTCTTGATTTTTGCTTTTTTAAAGTGAACTACTGAGTTTAATTTGGATTGCTTGCCTGAGCATGGATGTGGGGTTATTTGCTGGTGTATGGACAAGTTAGCAGTAGCTACACCATTGAAGAAAAAGGACTCCGTAATCTCCATTAGCTGCTTAGCTATGTGTGGAGCCTGGTGAGCTCCTTCCTGAGCTATAATAGCATATTGAGCTTCACCCTTGTACAGCTCTTGTGCAGGTAACCATACCTGCTTTGTGTTCATGACTGCAACAGCCAACAGTGTTATATTCAGAAGACTTGAGCGAGCACTGGTCTCCATCCCCCAGCTCCTTTGTTCTTTCTGCTCTATCTTCTGAGGTGTCCCCTAACCCTTGGAGGGTGTGATACAGATATTCTTTTTTGGGCAGGCACATTGACCAGCTAGGAGTCTTTGCATTAACTGCTCTACACTGTGAAAAGAAGTGTCTCTGAATGAGTCCTATTTTTTTATATATATACCTTTTAGAATGCTGCTGCATGGACCAACTTAGGAGTGCTATACCTTGCGACCGAAAACATTGAGGTATCATTATCAGTTTTAATGTTAAAAATGAATGTTATTTTCTATATAGGACTTTGTGAAAAAATATTTTATGTGTTATTTGTCCAGTATGTGAAATATGCTAGTTAATTGGTGGCATTTGTTTCATTATGCTGGGTAATGAATATGTAGTATTTATTTTTTCCTTTCATGAAAATTCTGGTTTTATATTTATGTATACTTTTTTTTCTTCTCGGAGACGGCATCTGTCTGTATAGTCCACACTAGCCTTGAACTTACTGTGTAGTAGCCATCTTGTTACTTCAGCTTTTTAATAGATGGAGATAATTCTCTTATTAATGAATTTGGCAACAATAAGAGAAGTTCTTTGTATGTTGTATTTATCTGGATGAGTGAAGGTAAGAGAGACAATTAGGTTTTTTTTGGGGGGGGGTTGGCTTTTTTGTTTGTTTGTTTTTCAAGACAGGGTTTCCCTGTATAGCTTTGCAGCCTATCCTGGCACTCATTCTGGAGACCAGGCTGGCCTCGAACTCACAGAGATCTGCCTGCTTCTGCCTCCCGAGTGCTGATTAAAGGCTTGCGCCACCAACACCCAGCGCAACAGTTAGTATTTTTTAATATATTAAATTTAGCATTTGGTTTTATGATTTAGAATTTGGCTTCAACAAATATTATTGCCCTTAAATATCCCAATAGAATTCCTCCCAGTTGAGCAGCTGGAACCTAGTTCCTGGAATCATGTACATAGGCCATATCTGTGACTTCTCCACAAATCTAGACATAGTGTCACATCTTTACTGTTTCTTGGTTTAGTCAATGTGCTGAATCTTACCCTTTGACAAAAAACCTTCCATATTCTTGAGGATACATTAATCATGCATTGCAAAAATGATCAGCTTTGGAAGATTGTAAATAGACTGAAAGAAATTCTTAAATTAGATCTGAAGACATGTGAAGTATGTAGCTGTAGCTCAGTGAAAATGTGCACACTCAGTGTGGACAAGGCCTAGGCCAAGTCTGGACCACTGGGCACACTTAGTGTGGACAAGACCTAGGCTGACTTTCAGGATCACTGGGCACACTTAGTGTGGACAAGGCTGAGGCTAAGTCTCAGGATCACTGGGCACACTTAGTGTGGACAAGGCCTAGGCTGAGTCTCAGAACCATTGGACACACTTAGTGTGGACAAGGCTGAGGCTAAGTCTCAATTGTTGTTCATAAGCTTTCTTTTTCCTAAACTGAAAGTCTCTTATTTTACACCACATGGATTATCTTGAAACAGTGGAAAACAGTATGGAATAAGTGTGCTTTTGTTGTTTCTTTTAAAGCTGGGCATGTATGAGCTTATGGTTGAAGAGAGGTGTCTTTTATGTTTCTTGACTGCTTTTTGTAGAATTGTATTATTAACCTCTCTTTCTCCAGGAGCAGGGTTCATAGCTCCAGCTTCATTGATTGTGAGTTTTTATTCCCTCAAAAAAGGGGGAATAGATTCAGCCTTATTTAATCATTTCTTTCACACATAGCATATGGTATGTGATTATTTAAAAGTTCTGCAGTCTAAGTGATGGAAACCTATAGTATTATTTTGCAGGGGACCAGAGCTCTTAATCTATAGGGAAATCTGTTGCACACAGCATTATTCTAAGAGTATAGCTAAAACATTGTATCCAGGTATTACTAATTGTGGTTGAACAATGAAAATTTTTTTAATGTATATTCACCACATGTTTGACTTCTCTTATTTTATGCTTTTTAAACAGTTGAAGTTTATGAGATTGCTTGATGTGGTATTTTCTTGTTTTTTTGTCTAGCAAGCTCATGAAGCTTTCAAAATGGCTCAGTCCCTTGATCCATCTTATTTATTGTGCTGGATTGGACAAGTAAGATAACAGTTATTAATAAACATAAATATAAAATAACTTCATATTAGTGTTAATGATAACATTAGTGATCACAAATGATGATAATGATATCATTGAGAACTTACTACATGCTAGTCATTGTGCTTAGGTGTTAGCAAGGAATATTTTAGTCAATCATTGTGCAATGTCTATTGTTATACTCTTTAAAGATGTAGAAATTTAAACTCAGACATTCTAAATATTGTGTCACAGCTGGCAGTGATTAAACTTTGAATCCCGGGAATCTGATTATTACTTTGCCTAAAAAATACACCTAGAACTCTTATTAAATTTACATTTGCAAAGACAATGTATATTTACAAAGATCATTTTGGCTATTGTTTTGTAATTTCTATAAAGTCTTCATACTGGGTCGTGCATTTATGACTACTTTTTCTTTATGTTTAGATTTGTGTTCTGCCAGACAGAATCGGGTTAATTGTTACTAGTCTGGGTCTGTGACTGATTATTTTACTTCAGTCATATCACATGAAAAACTGAATTCCTTGTCTAGTGGAGAATGTTAATGAATTGCTAAGTGGTTCAGCAACAATAGGCGCATCACATGTATCAGAACTGTTAGTCAAAGACTGGGTATGTCTTACTGTGCTTTGGTATCTTGGTGTAATTCAAGTTATATGGTAGTGCAAGCAGATAGCTCGACAGTGTCCTGTCTTCATTAGGTGCAGTGGCACATGGGGGCAGGGCATTTCTGCACCGTCCTTTGTGCCAGTTATTAGACAGGAAGCACTGGAGTTTGCATTTCTGTCTGAGTTCAGAATCTTATGACACAACTGTTTCAGGGTATTTTGCTCTAGGTTAGGAAATATTATCTTTACCTACATTTTAAAATGTTTTCTGTTTTCAAAGTATTTTGTTCTTAAAATAATTATCTCAGGACACAACTCACAGGCATAGTTAAAAATGGTAGCACTGGAAGTGAAACTAACTTTGCTTTGAATCATGGATAGTAAATCTCTGGTTCTTCTAGAACCATTTATTACCATTATTTTTATTTCTTTTAAATTAATGGAAACCTTTCAAAAATCCTTTTAACAGGCTCTTATTGCAGAGACAGTTGGAAGTTATGACACCATGGATCTCTTCAGGCACACTACAGAGCTCAGCATGCATGTAAGACTCGATTGTTTTTCTTGAGAATTCATGAGTGGGCAAACAGTATCCATTCAGGAGGAATAGTGGCATAGTGGTATAAAGTGTTGATGATGGCTGTTGTTTCTACCCTATCTTAGAATCAGATAGTCTTTACCTAGAACTTGCTTTCATCTTCAGTGTTCAAGCTGATAAAAAAATGACAATGAGATTACAAATTTTATTTATTTTTATGTATTTTGGTGTTTTGCCTGCATGTATATCTGTCCACCAAGTATGTGCCTAGTGTCCATAGTGGCTAGATGGGGACATTTGGAGCTCTTGGGACTGAAGTTACAGACAGGTGTGAGCTGTCATGTGGGTGATGAGAATTGGGCCTGTGTCTTCTGGAAGAGCAGCCAGTGATCTTAACCATTGAGCTGTCTCTTCTATCCTCCACAGTGAGATTTAGTGCATGTAATGAGTATTGTGGAAGACAAATTGATGCCATAAGAAAAAATAGACATGAAGTGAAGGATGGCTTTAGTTGGTAAACTAGACTCTAAAAAGATATTGAATTAGTTTGATTTAACCTGTGGGAATGGTCTGAGAAGGGGGAAACCAGCCCATCTGGCAAGCCTCTGTTTTCTGCTCTTTGTTGTATTTGATTCTACTCAGAATTAGAGAAGTGACTTTAAATTGATCTCAGTAGGTTTGTTGGTGTCATTTTGCTTTGTTTTATCATGGCTGCCTTTTGTTAAAGGTACTTAAAGAAGACTAAGCTTTGATAATATTGTTATTGAAACATTTTATTTCTAAATTTTATTGAAATATGGATTGTCATAAGTTTACTTTGTGTTTTCAAGACTGAAGGAGCCATAGGTTATGCATATTGGGTTTGTACAACATTACAAGACAAAAGCAACAGAGAAACAGAGCTATACAAGTACAACATTCTCCAGATGAACGCTGTTCCTGCAGCACAGGGTGTTCTGTGTAAATATGTGGGTAAGATACCTATTGTATATGGCAAAATATTAGACCACTGAAGTGTGTAAATACATTGTAGGTGAGATACCTATCATATATGGTACAATATCAAATGGGTACATTTTTTAATTTTCCCATCTCATGTTAAATATCAGTGTTCTTTCAGGTGTTAATTTGCCTTTTTGTTGCCACTCGGAAGTTGTTACTGCAATTTTCAATCAACGTCATGGCTCTGGAAAAGGGACTACACTCACTTTATTGCTTACTGAGTCAAGATTTCCTTGTAATAATGGAAGTGTGTTAAAGGTTGTGGTTCTGGGTTGCTGCTACAGTGACTCCTCTGTAAAAGTCCATTTCAGTTTGTGGACTAGATATTTTATTTCCCTTAACTTGGGTTTCACTTCTGGTGAGAGAAATCACAATTTCTAGGTTGTATAGTTAGGAGAATTAGATAAGATAATACTTATAAGATGTCAAGCCCATGCCTAGTGATTTTAACCTTTCCTATTAACTCCTGATTATCCCATAAGATACTGCAAAAAATATACTTTTATATTTAGGAAACTGGCAGAATGGTGAAGCTTATTAGCTTTCCCTAGTAATAATTTCCTGTCTTTTAAAATAGAACCATCACTGAGTCTGCCTTACTACTTAGTCATTATTGAGTCCTTGGGCATACTATACAAATGAATTTTAGGTTTCTGTGATATAAAAGGCAAAGTGCCTTTTACGTAGGATTTTAGTGAGATGAGTTGTGCAAATTATTAAGCTGAGTTCTTGGCAGGGGTAGTCATAAAAGAAACCAGTAGCTGAATAATATGAAGTAATAATGGTTTGGCCCAATATTGACAAGTCAGTTCTCTTGTGCATTTCGTCTGAGCCGCTTGTGAAGAAGGTAATGAGTTTACTGGCATCAGCATTCTGGGATGTTGTTTTCTATTGGAGTATGCTGACAAGAAGGGCACTGATAAATCCTCAGAGATGAGGACATATCCATTCAGAAACCTTATTCATGCATTTCCTTACTTTATAAGTAACTTTAAGGATTTATATAAAGAGGTAAAGCTTTTAATAAAATGCAGATATCTAAAATAATGAACACATTGGGTTTTTTTTAACAGTTATGCATAGCTGTTTTTTAAATGGTGGAACTATTTTCATAGGCTCATATAAATGCTGTATGCTTGGCCAGAAATACAAAGCAGAAAAAAAGAAGAGATGTTGAGGAGAAGATATAGAACATTACTGTCTGTCCCACTGAGTTTGCATTATTAGACCATGGCAGATGGAGCTTCTAACTCTTTTTGATGGTTTTGTGATCCTGTAAAATGACCTTTGTGATTTAGGAATGACTTTGACTATAATGTTAGTCAAACACCTTATGCTTACACACATTATATAGACTCCCAACCATCACATAGGATTTCTTTTTGTGGTATGTTTGTTAAACAACATAGGGATATGAAAGCCTGCTCTTAATACTAGCTTTAAGTAATTAGGGAAGACATATTTTTCTTTGTCCAATGTAGATATATAATGCACTTTCAACATAAAAATTGTAAAATACTATATTGAAAGTACCCAAGTCCATTTCTCTGGTGTGAAATACTGAATTATTTTTTTAGAATATATAGTTTCAAATAGAACCACCAAGAGAAAATCATTGCTAAGTTAAATTGCAGGGAAGAAGCTTAATTGATTAGCCAAGAAATTGTATGAAATTCTTTAAGAACTAATTAAAAAATTGCAAAATCCTGAATTTCTTTATAAATGTCAGAACTAGTTTTTACTGAGTTACAATTTCAAATAATTTTACCTAAAACACTTGTTTTTGGTTTATTTTTAAACCAAACATGAAAAATAAAATATATTAAGATAAAGCAAAGCCCATCACATCAAGGCTGGACAAGGCAACCCAACAGAAGGAAAGGAGTCCCAAGAACAGGCCCAGGAATCAGAGACCCAGTCATTCATACACTGTAGAGTCCCATACAAATACTAAGCTGAAAGCTATAATATATACACAGAGGACCAAGCTTGTAGTCCTTGTGGTGCTGCTCCAGTCTCTGTGTGTTCATGTGAGCCTTCCTTAGTTGTTTCAGAGGTCCTTGTTCTCCTGATGTCCTCCACATGTCCTCTGATTCTTACACCGTTTCTGCCTCTTCTGCAGGGTTCCCTGAGCTCTGAGAGGAGTCATTTGGTGGAGACATTCCATTTAGAGACGTATGTTCTAAGGACTTAAAGAAAACACATTTAAATTATACAATGCAACTAGAAACCACATATAATTCTTTAATATTATTCAGTGATTTAGAAGAATTAGCCAACGATCACTGGTATATTCCAGATAAATTAGGCCATTATTCTTAATAAATACCATTATTCTCAGTAGGTAATCTCCTGTTTTGAGATACTGAAACAAGAAGAATTTTACTGTTATTTTTGTATGTATATTTACAATTTGTATATATATATACATATATATATATGTATATATATACAATTTTTATAAACATATATGCATATATATGTATATATACATTATGTATATATAATATGTATATATATACAATTTGTAATTTGTATGTGTATATACACATACAAATTAAACATATTTGTTAATTTCTAGAAAGAATTCAGAATTACGCTCCAGCTTTCACAATGTTGGGCTATTTAAATGAACATCTACAGTTAAGAAGAGAAGCAGCAGAGGCATACCAAAGGTAGGTGTGCTTAGTGGACATTACTTACTGTGTTGTCTGTATTCGGTTAAAGTTTAGCCTCTTGACAAAAGAACTAATGTGATGTTTCACTCCTTTCCCAGTCCTCATTGTGTTATTGTGTTACCTTGTAGAAGGTGAAAAGATGAAATCCCACATTTTCCGCTCTGTTTTGCATTCCATTAGCTAGGGAACAGGGACTAGAAAAGGGCATAAACCAAACCCTCATAGATTCTGTTTTAGGAAGATCTATTTCTTGTAGTCAGATAAGAAACAGCAACATGAATATTTTCTCGACTTACCTTATTATCTATTAGGTATTTGTGCTTGTTCATAAATGTTTGTTGGATACTTGTACCTAGCAGTGTCCTTGCATGAGAAATTTATCAGAGAATTACAACAGACAAAGTCCCTGTTCTCATGGAACTCCTTAATGCGAGATACTCAGTAAGCTAATACTATCTGGTTACTAGAAGTTGCTAAGGAAGAATTAAAATAGCATCCAGGATCAGGGAATATGGGAAGATGCATTCAGATAAGAGTGAGAGCAAATACTCCCAAACAGAAGTAGTTTGCCATATTTAACAAACAAAACCCCAGTGTACTAGAGTGGAGGGATATCCTGGAGACTGGTAGGAAATGAAAGCCACTAGTTTTTTTCTCTATACAGTAATGGTAGGTAAATATGAAAATAACTGTTGATCTCATGAGTAACTACTAATAAAGGTTGGAAGAGCCAGTTGCCTAACTTTAAGGCAACGCTCCTTCAAACGTGAGTGAGTATTTAGAAGATATATGGTCAGGTGTAAAGAAGTGCCTCAAGTACTTACTACATCCTTCTGTGGATTCTCATGTAGTTCAAAGGAGTGTCACTAAATGGTACTGGAGGCTACATAATGAAGTTTTCCTTGTTTTTTCTTTTTTTCCCCCCAGGTGATTGAGAAAGGTTTATAAAAAACACACTTTTCTTCTTAGCGTGTCAATAAACTTAGAGTAAATTAAAAGTAGAGTAGAACAGTTAACACATAAAACAGCTTACTGTGTATGCTACCTTTGTGTGTGCTGTTGTTATTGTAGAAATGCTGAAACGACATCACTGTGCCTCAGGCTTAAAGTGGCAACTCCACAGCCACAAAAGAGACATGCACTGACCACAGCAGCTGTGTTATATGTTATGATATTTGTTGCTTGGAATACAAATAGTGCATAAATTTAACCATAAGTGTAGTCTTTAATCTCTAACATTTTTTTAACTGTAGATTTCATATCATATACCCAGTCCCACTCATTTCCCTGTCCCTTCATATATACCCTTTGCCCTTGCAACCTCCCCCACTCCCACAACAAAAGGACATGGAAGCTGTAGTGTGTCACAGTGAGTCACACGGTATACACTTTAGTTCATACATCTTTATTTGCAAATGTTCATTGCAATGAGTCATTGGTCTGGTTCTAGGCCTCTGGCTTCTGCTACACTATCAATATTAGATCTTCCTTCACTCTTGGATATCCTCTTGCTGCCCTGTTTCATGGAGATCCTGTAGTTTCAGATCTGCAGGATCGGCCCCTTTACTTGTTATAGCAGTTTGTAGATGGGGTGAATGTGGGGGTGTACTCATAGTGCATTGCCCTGGTTCTGGGCCTGGGTAGTAGTGGGGGTTTGATGGCCCTCCTGCCCTCCTTCATCCTCATCACCAGGGGGGAGCTCTTACCATTGCCCTAGTTAGTTCACCCAATGCCCCAGGCAGCAAGGGGCAGGACCAGTTCTGCTCTGACACATTCCAGGCCACCTCTGTAACATTGTTAATGCTTCCTGAGCAAATTGTTTTTTTGTGCAACATCATGTAGGTAAAAAGCCTTTCTTGGGTATTTCTCCTGGCAGATGTCTTTAGAAAGAAAAGAAAGAAACCATTTTTAAAAAGCTCTCAGCTTTTAGGACATTTCCCTCCTTGCCTATAGAGAGTACAGTGGAAGAAGAAAATGTTGGCTTTAGCTCCTGGTAAATGTATTCTAAGTTTAGAAGGATCTCTCATCTTTTCCCTTAATGCATTGTCTTTTAGTGTTTCTGTGTGAACAACCTCAGAAAGTATTCAATTTTCAGCCTTCCTACATGAATTTTCAAGAATGTCTTCAGTAAATTTTGGTGTGTCAAAATAGAACATTGATATGGTCATTGCCTATGCTTAGATTACAGATTTTAGAATATTTACAACTCACATGGAATAATAAATGGCTTTACTTATGAAAAACAAGATTATTTTTTACTGACAACCTAAAATTTAATACATTTAAGTGCCTCTTTGGTATCAATTTACTGAAATATATACAAGCTGCCATGAACAGCATTAAAGAATTAGTAGAATTGAAAGAAAAGACTATAAACCCATGGATTTGGCTGAGGAAGAGTGAGTAAAACAAAATGTTGGACATAGAAAATTTAAAATACCTTGTCCTTCTTTTTTTAAAGGGCAACTTCCCTGTTACATTCTACGGAAGACCAACATACTTACAGTGTTACAGTGAGAAACTGGGGCAGATTGTTGTGGTAAGGCTATCTTTCCTCATTAATTCTGTGAATCTATTTCTCAGGGAAAATTGTGGCCCTACAGATCTGAAGACTAGTGTCCAGAGCACTGGGATATATTATTTCGAGGGCCAGAATGTGTTTAAATTTCTCTACCCATAAAACCTAGCTTGAGTATGCCTTGTGAAGAGTGAAGTTAGAGCTGATGGTTTATGGACCAGATAGAGGAACGTTTGGGAGGTGGAAGTTTTCTCTGATAGAAGCCTACTTAACTATTTGGGGAGTTGGATTTATTCTTATTGGCTATGGAATATTATGTTCTAGGAGCTCATTTGAAACAGTGCTAAAAAATTCAGGACAATTGAGCTAAGATCTTCCCTTGGATTCTAAGTCTTTTGATCTAAAAAGACAGGCAGACCAATTTCGTCACAGAGTAGAAGTAAAGCCAGAGAGCAGATACATAGGAAGAAGGCTTTTGACTCACAGGGGGATTCCTTAGATGAGAGTTGCCCTAAACTTGAATGGTTAGTTTGAACATTGAATTGCAACTTGGTATTTTAGGGCCAGTCTCTACATCTTTTAAGGAACTGCACATGGAGGCATGAGGTAGCCCAGTTACTTCCTGTTATTGCGGTAATTTAATCAAGTCTATCGATGGAGAAATATTACTACTCTGCTTGCCTATGAATTCTTTTAAGCTTATATTTTAGTAGTTGGTAGAACTCTGTTGGTTTTATTGAAGCAGAGAACACCTAGAGTAAGAAACTGCAGCATATCTTCTTCTTAGGTTTGATATTTCGTAAAGAATAAATATTTTTAAAGAAAATTTTACTTCTATGGAAAATTGGCCACCTGTTTTCTTTCTTTTAAAAAAAGATTTATTTTTAGTTCATATGTATGTGAGCATGTCTGTCTGTATGTAGGTGCAACATGTGTGTGCCTGATGCCCACAGATGCCAGAAAGGATGTTGGAGCCCCTGCAACCTGACTTAATGGGTAGTCCTGAGTTAGCTAGTAGGCACTGACTTGGGTCCTCTGTAAGACTAGTATATGCTTTTAACCACTGAGCTCCTTTTTTGTTTTTGTTATGCAATATCTTGAGCACAGGCATATGGTAAAACTATAGTGCGTAAGTCAGTGAATAGTCACCACTCAAATAACACATAAAAACTCTTGTCAGTTTGTTTCAGCTTCATTTTAGAGGAAAAGTCATAAAGCTGAAGTCCCCTTACTCCTTTTCCTGTGTTTTTCTTCTATACATTTCTGAAAAGAGTTTTTATTTAAAGAAATAAATACGCACATATGTACAAACAACTCTCTTGCATCAAAAGCTGGCCTTCTTTCAAAATTGGAGCTTAATTTTATGTTTTTCATCTTTACAAAACTAATATTAAGAAGCAAAGGTTGCTTGTGTTTTTAACTCATAGCTTCAAAGGTTAAAATGCTTTTATAAAAGTATTTCAAAACATTTTAAAGACGATTAGGGTTATAGTGATAAATACCAGAAACAAGAGTCTCAGAAATAGTTACTTAGGTAAGAGTTGGGGCTGGAGTCATGGCTCAGCAGTTGTGAGTGCTTGCTGCTCTTCCAGAGGTCCTGTGTTTGGACCCCAGTGTCCATGTGAGGCAGCTCTCAACCACCTGTAATTCTAGCCTTCAGGGATCTGATGCTCTCTTCTGGCCTTCCCTGGCACCTGCATACATGTGACATAGACTCAGACACACATGTGCATCAATTAAAGACATCTTTAGTTGATGGCAGCTGAGCTTATGTGACCTCATTGTAAGATAAGCAGCTATTTTGCTTTAATGATCCCTAATGTTAGTTTTTCTCACTATATATTGAAACACCGAACAATAAAATTATCTCTATGGACTTTTATTGTGCCTATATTCCATTCATATAACTTACTGGATATTATAGATCCATATTCTTAGGATACTAACTAACATAGTAAGCTTAAAAAATTAGAATTTTTTTTTTTATAAAAGCCAACCTAAAATTATTCTTATAACTTGGGATTTAAGTAAAGTTTGTTAAAAAACAAAGAATTTAAGAGAGTGATTTAACTTTAGCAGAGCTAGTTATTTTCACATATAATTTAAGAGAAAACAAAACAAATGTGAAGCTAAATCATTCTGTTATACTCTACTTACGGTGTGCCTTCTATTTTAAATCTTCTCAACAACCTGAAGACTAATATATTATTTGCTAAATTACTATAAAAATGGACATGTAGATAAGTCATTAAAAGTAGTTGAGTGAATGTGTTTGTATACTTTCACAAAACCAAGATTAACATTTTTATCTTGCTTCTTAGTTCCATTGGTGAATATGACAAAGCTGTCGAAGCCTTTAAGTCAACGCCCCTTGAGGAACTGGAGGACATCGTAGGTTTGGCATTGGCATTGTTTATGAAGGAACTATATAAGGAGAGCAGCAAAGGTAAGTAATCATATTGCTTGAAGCTTTTTCAGAAAAATATAATAATGGAATTGTGATGGGGTTACAGTATTTTACTTATTAAAAATTTTAAAATGTTGTATGTATGTATGCATGCATACATGTCAGTTCAAGACTGTGTGCTTGATGTCCTTAGAGGCCAGAAGAGGGCATTGGAGTCCCTGGAACTGGAGTTACAGACAGCTGTGAACTACTGTGTGGGTGCTGGGGATTGAACCTGGATCCTCTGGAAAAGCAGCCAGGGATCTTAACTGCTAAGCCATTTCTCTTGCAGTATTTACTAAAACCTGACTGGGAGTCAAGAGCTATAATAGGCATTGTTTACGTGTCATCTTATTAGTATGCTATGATTATGAATACTCCTTATAAACAATTTGAACTGAGCATCTATTGTACATTTGAGGAGACTAAGGTGCAGGCTTAGTAGTGGATATGTAGCTTAGCATTCTGTATGCTTAAATGAAAAATTTTGATAAGTGAAAGTTTCAACTTTTATTAGTAATAGATTTTTATTTCTACAAAAATTTTAAGTGAGAAAATTCTGATACATATGAACTCCACCACTGTGTATACAGTGTACTCAAGCATTATATATCTGCTTGGAGAAGGTGGTGACTGCACTGGCAGTGTGACTGTCCATCATTGTTTCCAAGTCTCTTTTTCAGAGTCTGTTCTGCAGGCAGAAGGTGGGGGTTGTCCCCTAGAAACCATAAAGGTACCCTCAGAGTCGCTTTGGAATAGCTAAACCATGGTAGGGGCTATTCTGTCTGCTTGATAAGAGGAGAGCAAGGAAGGTAGATCTTTTTTGAAAAATAGGATTAGGAAGGGGGAAGTGGCCCATTTTGTTAATTAGAATTGCTTTTGTATTTTGCTTGCTTTTTCCTTCTACATAATAGCCTATGAGAGAGCCTTGACTGTTGTCAAATCAGAACAAGACAAAGCTCATGTCTTGACAGCTCTGGCAATAACAGAATACAAACAAGGACAAATGGATACAGCCAAGTCATTGCTTTTCAAATGGTATGTATAACTGACTTTAACACTTCTACAGTAGATCTTTATGTTTGAGATAAGAGCTGAACAATATAAAATAAAGTTCTAAATGTTTTAGGAACTTTGAAGTAAATGGAAGGAATTGGACCCCCCTTGTTCAAAATTGACAGTCCTGGGTGGAGTTCAATACCATGGCTTAACTTATAGCTTTGTGTATGTCTGATATGGCTTATTTGTTTTCAAGAATAAGTGCCCATGTGGACCACAAACAATAAACGGAATTGTAAACCGACTTGGTGTTTGATTGCTCAGGTCCTCAGAGAGGTCTTCCTTCTCCCTCCCTTCCTTTCAAGTTCCCCTGTGAATAGTTTATTTAAAGCACATCTTTAAAAATACCTGTAGAACTTATATACTTCTAGTGTTAGAACAGATTAAAATGAGAGCCTGTGATAAGTTATTTATATAGGACTTGTTGAGTTCTTAAAGCCTCTTTGTTCTTTTTTAAAAGGTGGCTGTAAATGATTAAAACAGGCCTTCCTGTTTAAACAGGACAGTGCTTGCCAATGAAGTTTATTGGTGTTTTTGAGTGGAACATATACTTATAGGACAGAAAGCCCCTCCCTATTGCAGGAAGCTTATAGTCCTACCACCATGCATTAACAGTAGAAGCATTCAGTTACTGTGATAAGGGAAACATTGCCTTGATAACTGCCCCCTCAACCCCAGAAGACCAAACTTCTGTTACACTGGAAATCTCTTCCTTGGCCTGTGCTGTCCTTGACTGTATGATGAGCCATGATGAGAAGAGGCCCTTGGATCCTGCAGAGGAAAAAAAAAAAAAAAAAAAAAAAAATGGAGAGGTTTCTGACCCTCTAAGCAGTGAGGGACTTTTCTGAAAATGACTTCCAGTTTCAGCCCTTCCTGCTGGGAAGGCTGAAGAACCCTTTCTCCAGTGCCAGCCCAGTGAGCCCTAGGTCTCCTTTCTTCTTGGACTGTATACATGTAAGGTCAGATTCTGTGCTGAAGAGACTAGGGCACTTCCTCAGTCTCTCAGCTGTTGCTACTCTGGGAGGGAGTACCAGCCCACTAGCATTTGGTGGTACTCTACTGAAACCTGGTGCTGCTGGTGTTTGCCAGTTCTGCCATACTGTAGTGCTACAGTGCTTTTCGACAATGCTATCCCACTATGAAACAGCGCCTCTGCCTTAGTTCAGTCTGAGGAGACAAAGGAGAATGCTGGTGTTTCTAATCTGCCATCTTCTGTTTTCCTTTAACAAAATAGAATTTTATGTCAACTAAACATTAAACTAAAATTATTCTCGCTACCTAAAACTGAAACTCAAAGAAGCCAATTATATTTGTCTCTAAAATTTAGATATAATAACCTAAAATGAGATTTGTGAATTTATGATGTGAAAGGAAGGCTATTACTACTTTGCTTCAGTCAGATAATTATTTTCTTTAAATGTAATATATATATATATATATATATATATATATAGAGAGAGAGAGAGAGAGAGAGAGAGAGAGCACAAAATTAGCTTGCTTTGATAAATCTTTTAAGTAAATAGCTTTTTGTATTAAATAAAATCTCTTACTAGATATTAGTCCACTGTAGTAATGGGTAACAGACTACTAAATATTTATTTATAGCTCTATTTTAAAGGAACCAACCATAGAAAGCCTTCAAGCCCTGTGTGCTCTAGGGTTGGCAATGCAGGATGCTACACTGTCAAAAGCAGCGCTTAATGAGTTCCTGAAGCACACGAAGCACAAAAATGATTATCACAGATGCCTTCTTACTTCAGCGATCTGTGCACTCCAGGGCCGCAGCGTGGCAGTGCAAAGACAGGCAGCCAAGGCTGTCCACAGGTAAGCCCTGAATCTGGAGACGAATTATATTTGGTGTGAATATGTTCAACTTTTGGGATTTATTATGACTATAAAATGAAATATGTGTCTGTCTGGAAATTGTACTGTCTTTTGTTTTGGTGAGTTGATTTTCCTTTATTCGGGTGAAGCTCTGTAGAGGAAGGTAACTGTACATGGAGTATGGATCTAGATAGTTAATTTATTAAGGGGAAATCACTTACACAAGGAACCGATGACCCAGATTGGCGCTCCAGTCTCAGCAGCTCTCTGAGACCCAACCGGAACCCGGGAGAGAGTCAAGTGCCATCCCCCCATCTTTATTCCACGTGCAGCTCATGCACCTGTGGCCACATCCAAATGGGCATGGCCAGCGACACAGGTAGCTCCTCTTATTTTGATACAAAAGTCTGTAATTCCTATGTTTGTAATATTATCAATTTATTACCGAATATGTTTCAATAAAAGTCATGTTGATGGATTTAGGAATTCTTAGTCACTTAAGTGTTGATCAGCCTTTAAAATTTGGAAATTAAGGTAACATTTAACAGAGGCAGGCAGATCTCTTCACTTTGAGGCCAGCCTGGTCTACAGAGCGCGTTCCAGAGCAGCCAGGGCTACACAGAGAAACCCTGTCTCAGAGAGAGAGAGAAAAAAAAAAAAGATAGCATGTAACAGCAGTTATCTTTGTTTTCATATGTTGTAGCTTTAATTTCTTTTTCTTGGTTGATTAGGTACATTACATTTTATTACATTTATTTTTGTGTGGGTGAGTACACACATACTATATCATGTACCTGTGAAATAGGAGAACAATTTGTGGAAGTCTCTAACCATATGGTTCCCATATGGCTATGTGTTCCCATATCGGAACCCCTTTGGCAAACCTCTAGCTCCAAAATATTTACATTACAATTCATAACACTAGCAAAATTACAGTTGTGAAGTAGCAATGAAAATAAATGTATAGCTTGGGGTCACCATAACATGAGGAACGTATTAAAGGGTTGCAGCATTAGGAAGGTTGCAAACCACAAACTCATGTAAGAGTTAAGAGCCTTCACACACTGAACCATCTCTCCTGTGGAATTAAAGAAACTTAGTTTGAAGTTTATTCCATGTGAATTATTTCTCTTAGAGTTATATCCTTCTGCTGTATAATATAGTTCATCCTATGCCTTTAAATTTCTTTGTATTTCCTTTAAACACATGTGCTATATTTTCTTAACTGTATCTTATAATTTTGTGACCATAATATTGTTTTACTTTATGTTTTAGAAACATAAGAACTCTTAGTGTTTGTAGAAGAGGATATAGTATATTTCCTAAAATTTAAGATGTTTTCAGTTAAATGTGGGCAATTAATATGAACTTGCTTAGATGTCTAAAGGATTTTAAATTTAAAATATTTGCAGTTCTTGTTATGGTTAAAGTAACCCCCATCTTTTTTTGCATGAAATATTTGGCACCCTGTATTTTATTAATCAAAACTAATTATGTACCATATGGCTTTTTCCAGCATTCTTTAAATAGCATATTGAGTCAGAACTAAGAGACATCAAATCAGTATAGTGTTCTTTCCTGTCAGATGAGAGAAAAGAACATAGTAGTCCCATGTACTTTCTTTTTTTTTTTTTCTAATTTAACTTTATTGATTCTTTGTGAATTTCACATCATGCATCTCAATCCCACTCATCTCCCTGTCCCTTTGTAGCCACCCTCTGCCCTGCACCCTCACTCGGACTCCTGTTGGATATCCTGTTGTTGCCCCATGTTGTGGAGACCCTGCAGCTCTGTTTGGGTCTGCAGGACCTGCCCCTTCTTGTGCTCCAATAGATCATAGATGTGTGGATGATGGTGCCGGCCAACTCATAGCTCTGGTTCTGGGCCTGGGTAGTTGCAGAGTTGGTCAGCCTGCCAACTCTCCTGTGTCTTCACCATCCTCTCCAGCATGCCCCTGCTAGCTTACCCAGTGCCATAAGCAGCAAGTGGAAGGGCCAGTTCTTAGCTCTCATGACCTTGGGGCCGGCTCACTCACATCTACAGCACCAGGGCCAGCTCTACCTGGCAAGACACAGGGGCAACTTAAGAACTGGTGACGCTCCAATGACCTCAGGGCCAACTCTCCCATCTGCCTCAGGCCTTGAGGAGTAGGGTGGGGGGTTGAAGGGGGCTTCTCTCCCTTGCCCACACCACCATATGTCAGATGAGGGGCGGGTCAGATCTCTTATGCTCATGTTCTTGGGGCAGCTCACCCATGCCCCTGTCAATAGAGACAGCAGTAACTCCCATCTTTAAGTTGAGTGTTTTTGTTGTTTTTTCTAGTAACCCTGCTGACCCAGCTCTTTGGTCTCTGCTGTCTCGAGTTGTTGCTCAGTACACTCAACGGAATGCAAAGGTAAGTAATGTTTAAAATTCTACTGAGTAGAGTAGCCTGTGGTGTTAAATACATATATATGTATGTATGTATAGCTATACAAATGTGTGTATGTGTATATTGTGTATGTATGTATGTATATATACACTCAGTGAGAGAGGGGAGGGAAGGAGGGAGAGAGAATGCTTTACTGTGTGGCTCTAGTTGGCCTGCAGATTTATATGTAGACCAGGCTGTACTCAGACTTACAGACTCTGCCTGCCTTTGCCTTTTCAGTACTGGGATTAAAGCCATCACACCCACCTTAAATATTTTTTTTTTCTAGGGGTGGGGAGGTGGGGTCAAGAAAGGGTTTCTCTGTGTAGCTTTGGAGCCTATCCTGGCACTTGCTCTGGAGACCAGGCTGGCCTCGAACTCACAGAGATCTGCCTGCCTCTGCCTCTGCTTCCCAAGTGCTTGGATTAAAGGGTTGCGCCACCAATGCCTGCCTAATATATTTTTAAAATATAGCCTTTTAAAAAAGAAAATAGCTCCATCTTATGGTGACATTTTCTCAATTGAGGTTCCCTCCTCCCAGATTATTGTGTCAAGTTCACATAAAACTAGCCAGCAAATGCACTTTCATTATTGATTACATTTTTGTACACTCAACTACCACAAAAACATTAAAATTCCATGACAGAGTTAAAACTATACCTGTACGCCTTGTCCTTTATTCTGTCCTTTCTCATCACCTGAGATCATCCTTTCTTCTTTCTATGTGTTATACTTACATGTGTATTTGTTTACACATATGTGTGTACATTGCAGGATAGGATCCACATATAAGGGAGAACATAAGGTTTTTTTCTTTCTGATATGGATGACATTCTAACATCCGTTTTTCTGTAAAATTTGTGATTCCATTTTTCTTTAGAGCTGAACAGTGTTCCATTATGTCTATATGAGGGTGTTGGATCTTCTGGAGCTGAAGTTATAGACCGTTGTAAGCTGCCTTGTGGGTGCTGGGAATTGATCCCAGGTCCTTTGAAAGACCTAAGTTTATTGCTCTTAACCGCTGAGCCAACTCCTGCCTTTTTTCAGCATGTTTATATTGCTAGGCAATAAATACATTTACTCGGTGCCCCTACAAAGTCATTTTACTTTTGAACTTGTAGTATTTTAATAGCAAATGTGAAGTCATCAAAGTAGACAATTTTTTTTTACTAAATCTTATAATAATACATTGATATTTGGAGATTACAGGATGCAAATTTGATGAAAACTGAGCTTCTCAAGTGATTTGAAGCAAAGATTTTATTAGTTGTACTGTTTGGTGAAAAGCTTTGCATTTGTCTGTATATGTTTTATTATAGGGAGGAGCTGTCGCCGGTGCTGTGGCTCATGTTCTGGATGCAAATCATGGAAAGGTTAGTTTTTGCTCTCATACAAAGGAAGTAGTTAACTTGTTTGATAGTGTTAATGAGTCAGAATAATGTCTTCATTGTTTTAAAGTTAGTTTTGAAAAGCAGAAACTGAAGAGAGTTGGTAAGCACACCTCTTTGTCTTCTCTTATAGAAGGCATTATTGTACACTGCAATAAACCAGTTGGCCATGGGAAGTGGTACAGCAGAAGATGAAAAAAATATTTCTCTAAAGACCATTCAGAAGGCAGCTTTCCTTTCTCCAGGTGAATATATTCCATTTCATTAATCTAGATGTCATCAATTTTGCATTTGTGTGTTAAAAGAACAAGGTTTGTATTTTCATGATAAAAGAAATTTTAAGAATATATTTTAAAGTTTTGTATATTAACTTGATTATCTGAATTTGACTATTGATAATTACAATGTATCAATTGTTTAAATAGACTGATAAGAATATTTTCTTAGAGATACTATGTTAAATCTGAATAACTTATTATTTTCAGGCTATTTTATTTCAGTTTTCCATCAGTATGATTTAGTATGGTTTAGCTATACCTACTAAATTACTTCATATACTATTTTTATGTGTGGTTAACTCTGCAAGATTTTGGTTATGTTTTATATGATGTAATACTTTCCTCATTTCTATGACATCTGTCTGACTTATGGAAGGAGGTTTATTTTGGGTGTGATTTGAGGATTTAAGCAATCTAACCTGATAGGGAAGGCATAGCAGTGGGAGAGGCTGCTCAGCACACTGCATTCAAGTCAGGAAGCAGAGGAAGATGCAAGTTGCTGCTCAGCTCACTCTCTCCTTCTGTTGGACTGGCACTGTAGCCCACACAATGGTACTACCACATTTAGGGTAGATCTTTTCTGAAGTAGACATGTCTGGAAACACCCTCATAGACACACCCAAAGGAGTGTTTCCATGATGACTCTAAATTGCATCAATTTAAGAAGATTAACTAACAGGTATAAAAACGTATAGCCTTACCTCAACTAGCTATTGTTAATTCTAGCAGGCTGTTCATATTTATGCTGTTGATTTTATAGGTAATGAAGAGTTGCATATTACTACCCTAGGGTGTTTCCATTGTTACTACTGGAAAATGTTAGAGGGCTAGAAGGTCATGCTCTGTAGGATTACAAAGCCAAGTTTTACAGTTCTGTCTTAAATATGAACTATAGCAGCAAACAGTTGCCTTTTCTGGGAATACATAATCATAGATGCAGCATCCATACAGCATCATAAAATGTCATGCTTTCTTATTAGAACATAAATTCAATATTGAATTTTTCCTTTGATTCTTACTTTTCTTAAGAACCAGAAACTATAACCAAAGTGTATTGACGTGCTTCTCCTTAAACTAAGCCTTTCAAACAGGACTAAAGTAATAGAGATATATGTGTGGTGGAGACTTGTCCTCCATGTCTTTGGAATGGGAATGAAATTGCACTCTCCATAGTAGCATAGCACTTTAGGAACTGAACCAGACAGGGACAGCCATGGGACAGGAGCTAAACCACACAGGGACCCCCATGGGACAGGAACTTAGTAGACTATCCTTCTGTGAGAAGTTCAGAAATTTTACAAGTCTCAAAGGTTAAATATACCAGTTTATTTTGGGGGAACAAGTTGGCTTCCTTTAAGGAAATGGTTTTTTGTTTTTTTTTTCTTAAGAGATAATTAATTTTTATTGGGAAAGACATAGACTTTTATTTATAATAGTTTTGCAGCAGCATATTGATATGAACAAACCTTCAAACTTTATTTCTTGTTTAGATGACCCTGCTGTCTGGGCTGGGCTGATGGCGGCCTGCCATGCTGATGATAAACTGGCTTTGGTCAACAACATTCAGCCAAAGAGGGTAGATTTGCACTTGGCACTGCTGTCTGCTGTTTCTGCCTCACGTAAGTTTTATTTTTACTTATTTACATTGTTAAATTATTATTTTAAATTGCATGAAATATATTTTGACCATATTCTTTTCCCTTCCCCAAGTCCTTCCCGTTCCTCCCTCCCTACCTTTTCACCCAACTGCATATTCTTTCTTTCAAATTCAAAGAAAAAACAAAAAGCAAAAAGACAAAAACACCAAGTCATAACAACAACAAAAAAGAAAAACAAAACAAAAAACATTGAGTACCATTTTATCTTGGTCAACTACTCCTGAACATGAGCCCTACTCTGGAGTGTGGTTGATATATCTAGTCTCACTGCACTCCAGAAAACTACTTTCCCAGCAGGAATCAATTGCAGATAGCTTTTTGGTTTGGGGTGGTACTTTGTGCCCACTTCCCCATGTCTGCTGGGATTTTGTCTGACTTGAGTATATGTAAGTCTGTGCCTGCTGTCAGTCTCTGAGGGTTCATGTTTCCATCAGCCCTGTTGTGTTTGGAAGACATTTCCCTTGGCATCATCTACTACCTCTGGCTCCTAGAATCTTTTTATGTCACCCTCTGCAATGATCCCCAAACCATGAGTGTAGGAGTTTGATAAGGGCATCTCATTAAAAACTGAGTGCTTCGGGCTGGAGAGATGGCTCAGAGGTTAAAAGCACCGACTGCTCTTCCAGAGGTCCTGAGTTCAATTCCCAGCAACCACATGGTGGCTCACAACCATCCGTTATGAGGCCTGGTACCCTCTTCTGATGTGCAGATATACATGGAAGCAGAATGTTGTATACATAATAAATAAATAAAATCTAAAAAAAAGAGTATGTTTAAAAAAAAAAACTGAGTGCTTCAAGGTCTCTTACTGTCTGCACATTGTCCATTTGTAGGTCTCTGTGTTAAGAATTATCTACTGCAAGAAAAAAGCTTCTCTGATGAGTGTTAAATGATGCAATGATCTATGGGTATGGCAGTATGTCATTGGGGGTTACTTTATTGAATTGTACATTTAGCAGTAAGTAAAGTAGTAGCTTTTCCCTAGGACTCATTGCTTATCTAATTAATGAGCATCTTAGCTTCATTAACAGTGTCAGGTATGAGTTCCATTTCATGGAGTGGGCCTTAAATCCAATTATTAAGAAATGATTAGTTACTCCTGTAGCATTTATGCTACTATTACATCAGTATATCTTGTAGGCAGGTTTCTGTTGTAGGTCACAGAGTTTGTAGCTGGGTGAAATTGATGGTTCCTTTTTTCTCTAGTAGTGTAAGTAGTATTTTCTAGCACTATGAGCGCTAGCTAGGAAAGGTAAAGCTTCTAGTTGGGAAATGCTCCATTTCTCCATGTTTGATAACATAGGTGAGTGATGTCTTCAGCAGTAGGGCCTTGCTATTATGTCGTGGAAGGTAACCAATAGTATTGGCACCCTGTAATGTTTGAGGGGTTGTTCTAGGGGACCCTTTGGCCAATGACTCAATAAAATGTAACCTCTTCCTGGTTCGGGGTGTTTTACTTGGTATCTGGTTGGGGTATTCTCTTTTGGTAGCTCTATTTGAATTTCTTTTATATTAGGAATCTTCTAGAGTATTAGGTTTCCATGTGACTTTTCAAAAGACCTTTAGTGTTACTTTGTCTCTGCCCATATTCCATCCTTTATCCTGCTTTCCCTTTCTCCTTTCTGAAGTATAATAGTAGAAAGTAGATACTGATTCATTGGTTTGTCTAGTGATTCACTTACACTGTTTGTATTGCCTGTTTGCCAAGCATGACTTATATTGCTAACTGGAACAGAATGACTGGAGAAAGTGCTAATACAATATTGGTTGTTGCCCTTAACAACCAGTTGACTGCAGGTTGATTCTGTAAAATCTCAGTTGCTTGTCTGCCCCACCTTGTGGTTTTAGAGGATAAAATGAGAATACAGACAAGACTGTCACTGGATTAAGGACTTTCAGGAGCTGTCCTGACTTCGGTCACTGGTGACCGCTCCTCTCTTCCACTCTCATTGGTGTCAGGATGCTTAGTACAGAAAGAGTCCCACAAAATCACCTTTTCAAGTAGCTTGTAGAAAGCATTTGTGTACATGGTTTAATTTAGATTCCACCAGTGGTCAGATCAAGAACACATATAACTTCAGTATTCATGGTTATAAAAAAATGTATTCACTTACCTACAAATTTCAGTTTGCTAAAGATGAGTAAATGACATTGTTGCTATCAATTCTGAGTTAACTGTAACATATTAGTAAATCAATTAATACAGATCCTCTTTATATAATTCTGAATTTTAATAAATGACTTTTATCACATCCTTTCTCTAAAAGATTTTTCAGTTCACATTCTTGCAGGATAGATACACTGGCAACATAGTCATTCAAGTCATTCAATTTTTGAGAAAGTATTTCTATTTTACTTTTAAAGGATAATTTTGCAAGGTACAGAATTCTAACCCCTCTCCACTTTCAACTTTAAGTATTTTATTCTATTCTCTTCTTCTGTAGTTTCTGAAGAGAACCTGGGAATGATCTTATCTGTTTCTTCACCTTTGGCTTCTTTATGTAGTTTTGCCTTATCTTTGATTTCCTTTTGTTAGAAGATAACAGCCAGATAAAGTTTAGAGGTTTTGTTTTTGTCTGGTGTTCATCTTTCACAGTGTTCTCTGACTGGTGGTTGTGTCTGACATTCTCAGTCATCATGGCTCTAAATGTGTTCCTTTCTCTTACTTTTCTGGCATTCCCATTAGGTTTGCTTAGATGTTTTGTAGTTGTCCTGTAATTCTTGGAAAGTACATTCTGTTACATTCATTATTTATTCTTTTGCTTTTCTGTTTGAATGATTTCAGTTGAGATATCTGAAGTTCAAAAATTTTTTCTTGGCACTCTCTAGTCTGTCAATAAGCTGATCATGAACAGTCTGTTCTGTTAGTTTGGTTTCTAACTCTTGTTTCTGAGTTTTCCAGAATTTACATGGCTCATGTTGTTTGCTTAATTAATGAAAGCTTTCCCCATAATCATTATTGTTTAATTCTAATAATTCTAGCATCCCTACCAAAGTCCAGCATTCCTGCAATACTGACTGCAGTCCTGATGCTTGCTCTGTTGTACAAAATATATCTTCTGGCGTCCGCGCCACGACTAAGTCTAATGGAACCTCCACTTGTGGCGTCTGAGCCACGACTAAGTCCCCGTATCGGGCAAAAGCCTGGATATTTAAAATGAATGACAAGAAGTCTGGCCACTTGTGCTATGTGCATCTGTCTGACTTTATTCCAGTGGGAGAGCAGCCTTATATACACTTACAGCACAGTGGAAAAACCCCAAGTGTAAGAGCTCGTGTTTTCCCAGGTGTAGTTGATGCTAGCGGGGCAAGGCCGGGGCTGTAAGCCAGGACTAGAAAACAGGATGCACCTGTGGTTATTGGCTGGCAAACAACTCACAGAGATCCCGTGGGGGCTGGGACCCAACAATATCTTTTACATTTGAATCTTTTTTATTTTCTTTATAGCTTGGTCATGATTAAAGTAGCTGTTTTGTAAGCCTTTGGTAGGGTGGTGAGATGTTGACGTGGTGGTGTAGGGTACAGGATACAAGTTGGGGTCCTGTGAGTGGATTGTTTCAGTCTCGGTGAGCCTGTGACACTGCTCTGTGAATACCACAGTGCTTCCTGGTTTATTCCTTTGCCCTCATTGGGCAGAATAGGCAGCCTACAGTGGGCTTGAACTGGCTGTTGTTCCACCTGTACAAGCCTTTAGTGGAAGGCTAATTAAGTTCCCCATCTTTGCCAATAAACAAGGAAATTATTAAATATTTGGAAACTAAATAGCATACTTCTAAATAACCAAGACCAAATAACAAGTCCAAAAGAAAATTAGGAAATTTCTTTTGGGGGGGATGTGTGTATGGGGGGGGGGACGGACGTTGAGACAGGGTTTCTCTGTGGCTTTGGAGCCTGTCCTGGAACTAGCTCTTGTAGACCAGGCTGGTCTCAAACTCACAGAGATCTGCCTGCCTCTGCCTCCCAAGTGCTGGGATTAAAGGCATGTGCCACCACCGCCAGGCTAAAAGTTAGGAAATATCTTTATGTGAGTAAATGTTTACACAGTGTGTCAAAAATGTATAACACGACTAAAGCACAAATTAGGAAAAATTTATAATATTAAATGGTTACATTAGAAAAGCGAAAAGGCTCTCCTCAAATTAATGATGGCAGCTGTCTTAGGAATCGAAAAAAGGAAGCCCAAAGTAAGACAAAGAAAGAAATGATAAAGATAAAATAGAAATCTGCTAGATAAAACAGAGAAAAAAGTCAATAAAATAAAAGGATGTGCTTTTTTTTTTAGATGAGTAATACAATTAGTAAATCTGTAGCTTTATGGTTCAAGAAAATAAGATAGGGTAGCAGCATTTGAATGAAAGCATGTCACTACAGCTATTAGCATGTCAATAATATTTGAATGAAAATATGTCACTATAGTTTTAATTAACATGTTAATAATATTTGAATGAAAGTATGTCACTACAGGTATTAACATGTTAATATTTCAGCAGCAACTTCATGCCCTGGGATTTGACAACTCAGAGAAAATAATAAAATTCTGTAAGACACAAAGTTTACATAAGCAGAAATAAATTCAATAGCTACATGTCTATTAAGGATATCCAAATTGAAACCTCACAAAGTAAACTCCAAGACCAGATGACATCACTGATTAATTTTATCAGACATTTAAGGAAACAGTAATTCCAGTTCTATACAGAGTTTTCTAGAAAATCTGGGTGATGGCAATACTCCTTTGAATATCTTCTAAGAAGCCAGCTTTCTTCCGGTACCAAAACCAGAGATAGTGTAAGAACAGAAAAAGACGGAACAGTGTCAGCCCTAGCATGCATGACGAAATTCCTAACAGAACCTTAGCATTTCTAACCAGCAACACATAAGGAAAATAGTGCATCACACTCAGGTGGGGTTTGTCCCAGGAATTTGAAAATGAGTGCAGTTTACATTAATATTTGTGAAAGATGCCATTCCTATGAAGTTAAAGTAAAACCGAAGTAGGAATTTACCAGGATCAGAGGATAATGGATTGGGGTGAATTGGAAACAGAAGTGATTACACAGGGCAAAAGGTAGCTCTTGCTAACGGTGAGTTCATGTTTTACCTCAACTGTGGTGTTCGTCCAGCAGTGTCTTAAGTGTGTTCCAACTCCAGAGTGAATGCAGTCTATTTTACTTCAGTTACATTGGAGAAATTGCTCATAGTTTTTCAGTGAATTTTCTTCACTACTATATAGGATATATATTTAAAATAGCAGTCAGAATATTCATGGTACTTCTATGGTGTTCTAGTGGTACATGTACTTTTTAACATATGTAGATCCAGGCACTGGGTAGGTGTATACTCCTGTAATTATGAGATTTCAGAGATGTGGATTTAAAGTCAGCCTGCTGTATAGACTTGGATAATTATTAGCAAATACCCCCTCCCCCACTCAAGAACACATTGTACACAGCAGAAGACAGTAGCATTCACCTCTTTTTGTTTGTTTACAGTTAAGGACAAAGACATTTTGCAAAATTACAACCAGTCACTTGAAAAGTGGTCTCTCTCACAAGCTGTCACTGGTCTAATTGACACAGGAAGGATATCTGAAGCAGAGTCTCTGTGCACAAAGGTATTGTGGAATTAACATTGAAATTTGTGTGTTCTTGTCCTGCCTAAAAATCTGGAGAGTGTTACTTAATGAGTGTATGGTGGTGGCAACAAGCAACATTTATTGGTTACTTTCTCCAGGTCACTCATTCATTTTAACATTATTGTTTCTGGGCTTCACAACAATCTGTGATGTACATGTTTATGATTTCAATCTTTTTACAAACAAGAAAGTTCATATTTGAAGAAGGTTAAGTATTTGCCCAAAAGTTCACAGCAGCTAGAAGTAGAATGCTAGTACTATACCACTGCTATAACCCTCATGGTATCTTTCAAAAGAAATGTTATCATTCATTCATTCATTCATTCATTTATATGTATGCATGTATATCTGTGTATGAGGAGGTCATAGAAGTATTATATCTCCTGGTGCTGAAAGTATAGCCAGTTGGGAGATGCATTATATGGGTGCTGAGATTCAAACTCTGGTCCTCTGCAAGATCAGTATGCTCTCTTAGTCACTGAACCATCTTCCTGCCCCCACTTCTGAATTCTGAATAAACCTTTTAATTTTGTTTAGGTTGTCATTCCTTTGGTTTCTGGTTGCTCACTTTAGAATACAGTGTTTCAAGGATTTGCTCACTTTTTCAAGTTCTGAAGCAGAAGAATGACTCTGGAGATTGTTCATCGTGGGTCTCTCTACTTGCTAGTTCTGTGGATACGTGCTTAGCAGCTTTCCTACCACATGATTGGGACTCAGTAAAGGTTTACTTAATCAGTAACTAGTTTCATGGACCTAAAATTCAGAGGGCTTTAAATATGGCCTTTTCTCTGAGTGCTTGTGTTTCATGAATACCAGAAATACTCTTTGGGAGAGAAACAAATTTTACAGAGAGATTAAAATGGTCTTTGGTCCTTGAATTCTTTGAAAATAATACATTTTCTCATTCATGTAAAGAATTCTATCTGCTCTAAGTTCAAGAAAGTGCATTAATTATATTGTGGGTGTTGACTAAGCATAAATTAGCAGTTGTAATGTCTTTTTTTGGTAAAATGAGGAATGCTTTATGAGCCTTTCCTTTTCATTTTATTGTTTCAGTCTCTCGTAGAAGGAAGCCTTCAAATACACTTTAGATATATGTTGGACTGTGATCTAATGAGAAAAATAATGAATAAACACTCCCTTAATAGAGAAGCAGTACAGAAGTATTTTGCCTACAGAAGAGTTGGAAGTTTGCCAACCTACAGAGCTGATGTTTTAGAAGACAATTCTAATGATTCTGATTTGGTCATAATATATGTGTTAAGTTATGGTGTTGTACTCCATGAATAAATACCAATCCTAAGTTAATCATAGAGTATGGTCTATTCCACTGAAATAGTAAAAAACCTTTACTTTTAGTATTTCTTGAGTCAGTTTTTTTTTCTATTCAGAACCTAAGTTTTTTAGTATAACAACTGAGAATTAACCAACTCAACACAGCATATTAAATCTAAACTAAATGACTACAACAGTGTTATTTATATGAAAGATTATTTAGTATAGGCTTTGGGATTCCCAGGCTGTGCAGCCTTTTGTTTTTTTAACTTTTATACCTATTTTCACTATAGCCAAAAAGGTTTAAGTTGAGGAAAAAAACATCTCTTAGCATGGAGCACACTTTAATTGCCTTTTACTTATTTCAGTTTAGCGCCTATTTGATATGTTTCTGTTTGGGGTTTGATTTTTAGAATTTAAAAAGTAACCCTGATCAGCCAGCAGTTATCTTACTGTTGAGACAAGTTCAGTGTAAATCACTGCTGGAGTCACAGAAGCCCCTCCCAGATGCTGTACTAGAAGAACTGCAAAAAACAGTGATGTCCAATTCCACCTCTGTTCCAGCATGGCAGGTAAGTTCTCTACTTTTGTGTGACTCCTAAATTAAAATATGCTGTGATACTGGTGAGGAATATACTCCATCTCTATTTCAATATTGCTTTTAGGCTCATCATATATTTGTCAGTTTCCAAATGGGAAGAGTATTGTGGAAATTTAACATCAATTTAGGATCTGCTTCTATAATCCTTCAGTCATTCTGTGTTGAAGATGCTTTATAATGAAAATGCTGTCTTAGTTACTTTTCTTGCTTCTGTGACAAAATACCTGATACAAGCAACACAAGGAAGGAGGTTCAGTTACAGGATGGTTTGAGTAAAAATGTCTTCCATAGGCTCAGGCATGCATTTGAACAGTTGGTCCTTTCTTGATGGCACTATTTGGAGATGTATAAAAAGTGTGGCCCTGCAAGAAGAAGTATGTCTCAGGGGTTGAGCTCTGAGAGTATGTAGCCTCAGCTCATTTCTGGCTTCTTCTCTCAGCTTCCTTTTCCTGTTGCCATCATCTCTGCCATGCTGGAGTTTTAGCACTCTGGAACTGTAAGCCAAAATAAACTCTATTCCACAGGTCTATTTTGGTCATGGTGTTTTATCCCAGCAACAGAAAAATAACTAATATAGAAGTTGATACCAGCGTGCAAGCCCTTGCTTAAAAGAACTTGGTTGGCAATGTTTTTTAAAGGAATATGGAAGACTTTGAAACTTTGACTAGAACAGTCGTTGAATGCTATAAGTAGAGCATAGAAGGCTATTCTGATAGGAGCCTGGAAGACAGTAGTGCTGAGCAATGCAGATTGTGGAGGCCTAACCCAAGAGATTTCAGATGGCAAGAGTCTTAGAAACTGTCCCAGAGAACATTTATGTTGTATTTTTGCAGAGTATCCAGCTGCTTTCTACCCATGGCCTGAGAACTTTCCTGAGGCAAATGGAAAAGTATTGGACCAATTTCTTTAATGGAGAGCAATTTACTATATAATATTGAATCATTGGAGTACTTATTATTTACTCCTTTGTAGGTTTACAAAGACAAAAAGTAAATGGGCAGAAAGAAATAGGAAATGAACATGTTGAAGAGAAAATGAGCATCAGAGAGCTTAATGTTACAACCAATGCATGTGCTAGAAGAGAGCTCTAATTGTGAAAGAGATTAGTGCCATTGAGAAGACTCCTACTTTACAGGGGAATAAAGGACAGTGTGCCAGGCCCAGATCCCACTAAGCTGAGCTTCTGTCTTGTAGAAAGAGAACCTAAGGTGTTTTCTGATCCTGTCCTTGCTAATGTGATTCGAGGGGGCCAGCATCCATTCCAAATTGGCAGCCAAGCTTGGCAGTACCATCTAAGTGGTAATGGCTGTTATGATAAATCGAGTGGGGATCCTTGGCGGATTCCATAGAAGTGGAGGGTGACCTAGGCAGGGGACAAACATGTCAGGCAGACAGAGCTTAAGTGAGAAGTTTTATTAAAAAGGGAAATGGGGGTAGAGAAGGAAAGAGAAAAGAGGTGAAGAGACACAGAGACAGGGAGAGGACAGAAGAGAAGAGGGAGACAGGGAAAGTCCTGTCTGCCCCAGGGGAACAGTAGGAAAGAGAGAGCATAAGTAGGCAGGGTTTATCTTTTAAAGGGGTCCTTTGTACCTGTGTGCAGATTTTGTAGCCAAGGAAGCCTCGACTGACCAGGGTACTGCCTGTGTGCATTGTGCCAGGTGACAGGGGCAGGCCAGCATAATTCCTGAGTCCTTACACTGGCATTAGAGGCATGAAGGATGTAAGAATAAAGGGGTTCTCCATTTCAGAGAGCTCCTGAGCTCAGTCATCATGTGGTAGGTACTGAAGGTACTGAGAGGGCTAAAGGCTGTGGAGGCCATTGGTATGAGGTGTAAACGTGAAGCCCAAGTTACAGTGGAGATCCCAGGATACTAAAAGATGCCAGAGCTTTGAGACAGCTATCCAGGAGAGCTGCACACAGGGATTGAAACCAGCCCAAGAGAGAGATGTATGTTGCAGGCAACAAAGTTGGAGGGGCTGAGCTACGTAAGCCCTTTAAAGCTAAAGTTCCAGATGCCATACATGGAGCTAAAGAATTTGTTGTTTTCCTTATTGTGTTTCAGTCTTGGTTTGGTCCAGTATTTCCCCCCACTATACCCCATTCCTCTTTTTTGGAATGGGAATGTATATGCTGTGCCATTATATATTGGAAGAATGTAATCTGTTTTATGATTTTACAGTGGGTTACAATAAAGAGACTGCCTTAGTCTCAGAAGAGACTTTGGACAGTGTTGTGACTGAAAGGCTATGGGAACTTTTGGAATTAGACTAAATGTGTTTTGCATTCTTGTGATCAGGAGCTTTTAGGAGACAGGGAGTGGAATGTGGCTGCTTGGATGAGAAATGCCCCCGTAGGTTCAGGCATTTGGAAACATAAATCTCTAGTTGATGGGAGTTTGGGGACATACAGATGGGCTTTGAGAGAATATAGCAACTTGCTGTTGCTGCTTCCTGATGGGATCTCAGTTTCTGGTTTCTTCTTCCGTGACTGGCACTTGTCACTGTGTCTCCTGGATGAACTCTTATCTTTCTGGAACCACAAGCTTTCTGTAAAGGAACACTCTTCCTTCTTGATTATGGTGTTTATTTCAGTAAAAGAAAAGTAACCGTCAGTCTGTCATGATGGTAGGAACTGGAGGCAGCTGGTCAAAGGAAGCAGAGAGCAATGAATGCTACAGCTCAGCTACGTTTATTTTCTCTCTTGTTATTCAGTTTAGGACCTTAGTAATGAGTGCTGCCGATATTTAGTGTGCTGGCTAGTTTTATGTTAATTTGACACAAACTTGAGTCACCTGAGAGGAAGGAACCTCAATTAAGACAATGCCTTCATAAGATTGGGTTGTAGGCAAGTCTGTAAGGCATTTTCTTAATTAGTGATTGAGGGGGAGGGAGGGTCCAGCCCTTTGTGCGTGGTGCCATCCCTTTACTGGTGGCCATGGGTTCTATAAGAAAGCAGGTTTATCAAGATACCAAGCAGCTCGTCTCCATGACCTCTAAATCAACTCCCAGATGCACGTTCCTATTTGAATTCTTGTCCTACTTCCCATTTTTCTGAGTCACCGCCATACTGATTTCCAAAGTGGTCTTACAAGTTTGCACTCCCACCAGCAATGGAGGAGTGTTCCTTTTTCTCCACATCCTCTCCAGCATAGATTGCTGTTTTTGATTTTAGCCATTCTGACAGAAGTCAGAGTTGTTTTGGTTTGTGTTTCCTGATGGCTAAGGATGTTGAGCACTTTCGTGTCTTTCAGTCATTTTAGATTCCTCTGTTGAGAATTGTCTATTCAGTTCTATACCCTACTTTTTAATTGGATTATTTGGTGTTTTGGCAACTAGCCTCTTGAGTTCTTTGTATATTTTAGAGATCAGCCCTCTGTCAAATGTGGTGTTGATGAAGATCTTTTCTCATTCTTTGGGCTGCCGTTTTGTCTTGACTGTGTCTTTTGCTTTACAGAAGCTTCTCAGTTTCAGGAGGTCACATTTATTAATTGTAGAGCTCAGTGTCTGGGCTACTGGTATCTTCTTTAATATCTTTCTTTAAAGATTCAAAGTTCTTGTCATACATGTCTTTCACTTGTTGGGTTAGAGTTACCCCAAGATATTTTGTTTTTGTGGCTGTTGGGAAGGGTGATGTTTCTCTGATTTCTTTATCACCCCATTTATCATCTAAATATAGTAGGGCTACTGATTTTTTCTTTTTTTGAGTTAATCTTGTATCCTGCCACTTTGCTGAAGGTGTTTATCAGCTGTAGGAGTTCCCTGGTAGAATTTTTCAGATCACTTATGTAATCTATCGTATCATCTACAAGTAGTGAAAGTTTGACTTCTTCCTTATCAATTTGTATCCCTTTGATCTCCTTTTGTTGTCTTATTGCTCTAGCTAGAACTTCAAGTACAATTTTGAAGAGATATGGAAAGAGTGGACAGCCTTGTCTTGTTCCTGATTTTAGAGGAATCGCATTGAGTTTCTCTCCATTTAGTTTGATGTTGGCTGTTGGTTTACTGTATATTAATATGTTTAGATATGTTCCTGTTATCCCTGATGTCTCCAAGATCTTTATCATGAAGGGCTCTTGGATTTTGTCAAAGGCTTTTTCAGCCTCTCGTAAGAGAGATGATCATGTGGTTTTTCTGTTTCAGTTTGTTTATATGGTGGATTACATTATGTTGAACCATCCCTACATCTCTAGGATGAAGCCTACTTGATCATGGTGGATGATTTTTCTGATGTGTTCTTGGATTTGATTTGCCAGTATTTTATTGAGTGTTTTTGCATCCATGTTCATAAGGGAGCTTGGTCTGTAGTTCTCTTTATTTGTTGTGTCTTTGTGTGGTTTGGGTACCATGGTAATTGTAGCCTCGTAAAAAGAGTTTGGCCAATGGCACTTCTGCTTCTAATGTGTGGAACAATTTGAGGAGTACTGGTATCAGCTCTCCTTTGAATTTCTGGTAGAATTCTGCAGTGAATCCATCTGGCCCTGGGCAGTTTTTTTGGTTGGTAGATTTTTGATGACTGCTTCTATTTCATTAGGGGTTATAGGTCTGTTTAAGTTGCTTATCTATTCTTAATTTAATTTTGGTAAGTGATATTTATCCAGGAAATTGTTCATTTCCTTTTTATATCTTCTGGTTTCGTGTAGTACAGGTTTTGAAACTATGACCTGATGAATTCTCTGGATTTCCTCAGTGTCCGTTGTTATGTCTCCTTTTCATTTCTGATTTTGTTAATTTGCATGTGTTGTCTCTGCCTTTTGTTAAGTTTGGTTAAAGGTTTGTCTATCTTGTTGATTTTCTCGGAAGAACCAACTCTTCATTTCATTGATTCTTTGTATTGTTTTCTTTGTTTCTACTTTATTGATTTCAGCCCTTAATTTCATTATTTCCTGTCATCTACTCCTCCTAGGTAAGTTTGCTTCTTTTTCTTCTAGAGCTTTCAGTTGCATTGTTAATTCTCTAGGGTGACTATTCTCC